GTAGAGCGGAGTCGGGCAAAAACTGGAACTTTGAGGTCTGGCTTTAAATTGTTAAAAGCAGAAAGGTAAGAAAAGCAAGGTCTTATGGAAAGATAAAGGAAAAATTCACTCAGGGAAACTCTGTGACACCACTGTGCATGTGTACACACAAATTTTCCTTCACTCACAGTTCACACGAGCATTGAACCAGAGAATGGAAGAGGGGGAGTTCTCAGGGAAACACACCCACACCCAGCAAACAGAGTTGTGTGGAAACAGCAGTTTGTGCGTTTCACAGTTCCAGCTATGAACGAGACTTCGGGATCAAACTATATTTAGATAACCCGGCTTCAAGCCAAGGGCGATAACAAGAGAAGCTTGAAGGAAACTAGCTCGGATTAATGGGTATCAAGACCTAAAAGGTCAACTCTGTCACTCCAAAGCTTGTCTGTTTGCGGTTTTGCAAAAGGATCACTTTACGGTGGCCAAATACCTCTTGTTTCCTGTGTCATTGCAAGGAGTCCACCCCGGATAAGTTTGTTAGGTTGGTCCATGTTTGGGGAAGGTTCAGAGCATCCTTTCCCTTACCATATTAAATACTGGTCTTCCCCCCTATTGGTCCTTTCCTAGGAAATTTCCACTTTCATCTCTGTGGGGCCCTGGAAAGAAAGTTGTTGGGGAGATCAGCTGAAAATGGACCAGCTTCTAAACAGATGTTTGCTGAACTGCTCCACGTACACCAAGGCATACGGGGCAGGAGAGAGTGGCTACCGATCATCAGAAAGTGGAGGGAAAGTTCTTCCCTCAAGTCTCTGAAGACAGAAAGGAGTGATTTGTGCAAGGATTTAGTTTTCTTAAAAAAACACAAAACACCAAGGTTTGGTTGTTCACTCTGTCGTGAATTCGTGGGAACCGCCGAAATCTGTTGCAAAGATGTTTTTTTGTTTTGTTATGCCTCACTATGACATCCTCTCCCAAAGTCCGCAGTGCAGAAGGACCATTTTGTAGTGTATTCTATATTTACAACATTTGGGCAATAAAAAGATTGCGCTTGAGACAGCTCTGTGCCCACCCAAGGGTGTATTAATTTAATAAATAAAAGTGTTTCTTATGCCCTGCTGTTGTATTCTGATTAAAAAGAAATAGACAGGCAGATGTGATTTTTGGAATTCATGCCTTGTAAAGGTCAGCCAAAGCTGCTTAATAAACCAAAAGTGGCCTACACTGCAGGGCAGCAGTCCCTTATTCAAAGCGCTCTCCATTCTCTTGGGAGAAGGAGCAAACACCTCGACCACCTTCAGCTGTAGTAATAAACTATAGACTGCACTGTTTAGGTGGAGCTCTGAACAAACCTTTGTTCTGCGCACAACGGCACATCTGCGCAGGGGGACACAAGGGTGCATTTACTGCCGTTCTCCCCAACATGGTGCCAATCCAGGTGCACGGATGCCTATCATCCCCAGGCAATCTGGCTCGAGATGAGGAAGGATTTTGTCTCTCAACCTACCTGGATGGTATCATGTAGGGGGGAAAAAATCTGATTTACGGTGTCAAAAGAAAATTCAGCTGTTCAGCCTGGGAATGCTTCTCTTCCCCCCACCCCCTTTTTGGGACAAACTTAGTTCCTATTACAGTGAGTGAAAACATCCAACTAGTGTTTTTTTAAAGGCCTCTTTGGACAAGTGAACGGTACAAGGACACCTTTGTCTTCCTCATCCCGCCGCTTTTGCACAACACACAGCACAAACAACAACGTCGAAAGGAAACTGTCAGTCTACAGAGCTTAAGGTAAATGCACTTGATATTTACATTCTCACCGTCTTAACCTTCACAGTGGTGCTAAAGTGCAGCCTGTGTGCGCTCCCCCCCACAGACACACTTCCGTCGCTGGTCTGTTTCCTGGTAACCTGAGCGGAGGTCAGCAGAAAGAGCAGGCAGGGAGGTAGAAGCGCCCCCCCCCGCTAAAGCAGGAAACGAGGGGAGAACAAGGGGGCCTGGGGAACATCCCGGCCCGATTTCCTTCCGACCCAGTATCTGTTTTGTGAAAAAACCCGCTTGCCTTTTGGTCTGCTACCGATTCGTTCAAGGACGACGTTTGAACATGGAAGGCTCCTGGCTTCTTGGATTAGCCTGCTGTGTGGTACACCAGGCTCCGGATACTGAGAGAGGATAAAAGCACGCCTCAGGGATAACGTATGTCGTGAAAAGAACCGAGGGAGTAAGCTTTGGCCAGCCAGGTCTTAAGAACCAGATAAAGAGAGAGTTTTAGCAAGACTCACTTCTGCTGGAACTGCTAAATCGTCAATGTGGGGTTTTTATGCTACACCGGGGGTCTCGAACGAGCAACGTCCATGAACTGCACCAGAGCAATACTTGGGGACTCTTCCCTGAGAACCATGGATATAAAAACACAACTGGACTGCACAGAACCTTTCCTTTAACCCCCCAAAAAACAACCCCCCCAAAAAACTAAAAAAAATAAAAAGATAATCAAATTGGAACACTTGGAAAGCTTCTTCGAGCAAAATGAGGTCTATTTCCTTCGAAATTCCTATTTATATACATTTCTTCCTGTCTTTTCTACGTTCAGCCTTGCAGGTTAACCTAGCCTGTTTGATGATGGCGGGGAACTGGCGCCTCCTCAGAGGCTGCAAGGTGGTCGTTCCCATCATCTTAGGCTAGTCGTTATGCCAGTTGGGGGCTGAGAGGAGTTGAGAGGCTAAGCATCAGGAGCGGGGGGCTGAAGGTCCCTTGTCTCTGGCAGAAAACGGGAGGACTGATTCTGTTTGCAAAAGCTCCTACCCTCTGCCATGCCGCTCTGAGATTCTGCCAAGCGCCGTGGTGGGAAATTCACAGATCATTCCTATGACAATGTGGCCAGTTTTGTTTTGTTTTGGGTTACATAACAAGAGAGCATATGATCTTTGCAAAAACAACAGATGTCTTCCTTCCTTCTAGAGCTACTGAATTTGCATGCCATTTAAAAAATGCCAGGTGCGCTCCTGTGAGCCTATCCATCATAGGCTTTAACATACGTCTCTACAATTGGGTACCAGGATTTGCAAAAGACGTGCATCCACATGGAACCACAACTGCTAGGAGGAGCACAGGGCTGTCCATGAAAATGTCAGCTCATTCCCCTGTAACATGTTGCAATGGTCACCCTTCCTTTTAACATTGTTCTATGTTCATTCCACTGCCCTCTGCCTGAATCCTACACTGCTGTCTGGCCAGGGGAGGAAAATCTCCATCACGGTAGCAAGTCATGGAGTATTAATGTATTCGCGAAGGCTTTCACAGCCGGGATCTGATGGTTGTTGTGGGGTTTTCTTTGGCCGTGTTCTGGAGGTTGTTCTTGGTTGTTGTGGGTTTTTTGGGCTCTTTGGCCGTGTTCTGAAGGTTGTTCTTCCTAACGTTTCGCCAGTCTCTTTGGCCGGCAGCTTCAGAGGACAGGAGTAGCATTCTGTGCTCTGGTGCAGTCTGTTTGCCCACTGATCACCATAATCACCCACTGATCACCATAATCACCCATCTCCTTAAAAGGACAAAAGCTGATCCAGCAGCTATAAATATTCAACATACTGCACCACAGCACAGAGTTCCTACTCCTGTCCTCTAAAGATGCCGGCCACAGAGACTGGAGAAATGTTAGGAAGAACAACCTTCAGAACACAGCCAAAGAGCCCCCCCCAAAAACCCACAACAACATGGGTTTGCTTTAGTTAGTTAGCTTTAGTTAGTTAGCTAGTTAACTTTACTAACTATAACCGAGTAGGAAACTCCCAAAGAGCCCGAAAAACCCACAACAACATGGAGGATCCTTTACTAACTATATCCTGGTAGGAAACTTTGACACCTGGCTCTCTTTTTGGCTGGCAGCCCTGAGTTCACGGTAACACGTAGTCCCACCATTTGCTTATATATATAAAAAAAATCAAGAAGGCCACCCAATGCAGTTCCTGCAGCCCTTCAGCTCCATCGGGGAAATCTCCCTTCAGCACTTACGGCCCTGAATTCTCTCACCATAGGAGCCAGAAGCGACTCTGCCATTGTGAACAGCAGAAACGGGTCAGAACACCCTCATGGAATGATATGCAGACTATACATAACAGGAACCTCCTTGCCATGGCACAGAAATTCAGCGACGGGGAAGGGGGGGCAGAGTCCCGGAGGACTGCCTTCCCCAAAAAAGCAGAGAAAACATCAAGCTATTTGTGAATCAACTTGGCGAGCTTCAGAGGCGACAGCCAAGTCCATGTCTCATAAGTGTATATTTTAAAACATTGTTTTGTTCCTCCCAGGTCTGAATATATAGGGCAAGTCCTGCTTGAGAGGAACCACGTCCCAGATGGACCACGGCCAAGTTTGTAACCGTAGGCCTTCAAATCTGGCAGGTCTTCCAGAAAGAGGATATTCAGACAAACAGAGTAAACATTTAGGGGCTCCTTGTACATGTTTTGGGCACACCATAGAAGAAGCTTAGCTTATACGGTGCAGGAGGTAACCCTGTCACTTCAGAATACAGGGGGGGAAGTGCTGTGCGCAGGGTGTCCAAGCCAGAATCCTTCCCCTTTGACTACACGCAAGGGGAGTGGGAGATATTAAAACCTCACCATTCTTCCACTGAAGCATTATAGATGCACTTCATCGCTTGCTATTTATGTCGGTTAATCCTGAATGTTCTTCAGTCGGAACAATCAAACTATTTACAGATGTGACCTTTCTTCAACCAACAGCTTGGCTTCTGGCACCAGCTTCTGGCACTTTTCTTGTCAGGTTTCTGGAAATCTCCCCAGCCCTGTTCCTTGGGGGGGAAAAAGAGAGTTTTTCTACCCAGGTACACAGAGGAGAATGCTGGGAGGCTTAAATTGAAATGACACTGATCCAAAATACAGTATGGCATTTTTCACAGCACGGAGAAATATATATATATATAAAAGGTAGGAAAAGCAAGCCAGGATATACTCAAAGGGACATGAGGTGCCACAGCACATAAAACAGACTCTTCAGGAGGATCAGAATTCTTCTAGAACTGTAATGTAATGCTTTGTGAGGAAAAGCGGGGAGATTTATCTACAAAACCAAACAAAAAAAAACACGAACCAACAAAAAAACAACAAGAACAGTACAGAGAAAAGCAATGGAAATACAGCCGAGGCCAACAAAATGGAACAGAAGAAAGCATGAACCCACTCCCCCAACAGTCGTCTGTTGACAATGTACTGTACGTTAAAATGAAATGCCCCCAGGGATCAAAGGGTGATGGAGGTAAAGGGGGATGATGAAACCCGAGGGATGAGCCAACACAGCAGGTCTGGAAAGAAAAGACGAGGAGAGATCAGCAGTGAAGGAAAGAGGGAAAGAAAACGGGCACAAGAGTTGAGGGTAAGATACAGTACAAGTTAACACTGATTGATTGCACCTTTTCTGTCTCTGGAAAGGACAGGCATCTAAATCCAGCGCGTTCATATGCAAAATATATACACAAATCTAGATTAGCTATATATATATATATATCTGTATATATATGTATATATAAATATATGTACACGCTAGCACTGTACACATATGAGAATTCTGCCAAGATCCAGAGCCTGGTTCGAACATTACCCTTGTGTGAATCTACTGGTCTAAGGTGGGATTTAGTCTGTTAATAGGAGAGGAAAGGTTGCTTTGGATCATTCCCACAGAATTGACCATCTTTGGGCAAAAGAAACCTCCAGCAAAATGACTCCATCGTCTAGCGGTCGCTGACGACGCTCGTCTGTGGTTTACTCGATTCCAAGGGAGGGTCAACTTATTTCGAAGAGGTGGGGAACTCCACGAAAACTCAACTTCAGGCTGTCGATTCTGTGAAGGAAAAAGGGGAAGGGCAACTTTTCCTTTTTCAGAGCGGTGGAAATCTGAGGAACACGTCCGTAAGAAGGGAGATGGCTTCCTCTCAACGCAACAGGCACGTAGCAATCCCGGGACTGCGTCTTTGGGGTTTCCTTAAAGCTTGCTTGTCTCTCAGCTCAGGAGAGCCATGGTTCCCCCCCTCCCCACCCCATCCCGAAACTTGGGCACTTGGTGGGTCTCCTCCGGCAACAGGCCTCGGATAAATAGTGCAGAAATACGTGAACGTCACAGAGATGATCAACAGGCCGACTCCCCAACTGTGTAACTCCGTCAGGCAATGGCTTCCTTTCCATTCAGAAGAAGGCAGCGAATTGTTCCAAGGGCCACCGTCAGCGATCCGCCTCTAGTGCTCGGCGTCCATCGCATCCAAGTATTTCGCCTCAATGATCCTGGGGAGCAAATTGTACCTGGGTGAAGGAGAAGCAAGAGGGTCCCTTGTTAGTTACAGGCCTCAATAAACCCCTGCCGTTTCAGATTTGTAACACCCCGTCCGCCTCCTCAGGGACCGCACTGTAATCTACTAAGTGGACCAGCCTTCTCCAGTCCAGGGGCCCCCAGTAGAAAATGTGATAAGAGCTGTAGCTGAGTTAAATGAGTCTATTAATTAGGACGAGCGCAAAAAACGGTCTGTAGCTCAACATCAAAAAAAAGTAAGATCATGGCCACTGGTCCCGTCACCTCCTGGCAAAAAGAAGGGGAAGATATGGAGGCAGTGACAGATTTTACTTTCTTGGGCTCCATGATCACTGCAGATGGTGACAGCAGCCACGAAATTAAAAGACGCCTGCTTCTTGGGAGGAAAGCGATGACAAACCTAGACAGCATCTTAAAAAAGCAGAGAAATCACCTTGCCGACAAAGATCCATATAGTCAAAACTATGGTTTTTCCAGACGCGATGCATGGAAGTGAGAGCTGGACCATAAAGAAGGCTGACCGCCGAAGAATTGATGCCTTTGAATTGTGGTGCTGGAGGAGACTCTCGAGTGTCCCCTGGACTGCAAGGAGAACAAACCTATCTGTTCTGAAGGAAATCACCCCTGAGTGCTCCCTGGAAGGACAGATCCTGAAGCTGAGGCTCCAATCCTTTGGCCATCTAATGAGAAGAGAAGACTCCTTGGAAAAGACCCTGATGTTCGGAAAGTCTGAAGGCAAGAGGAGAAGGGGACGACAGAGGACGAGATGGCTGGACAGTGTCATTGAAGCGACCAACATGACTTTGACCAAACTCCGGGAGGCAGTGGAAGACTGGAGGGCCTGGCATGCTCTGGTCCATGGGGTCACAGAGACGGACCCAACTTAACGACTAAACAACAACAAATTAATTAGGATGATAGGGGAAGAGAGCTTCCACATTCAGAGACAGTGTATCTGAGAATATTAAGTTTCTGAGGAACAAAAATGAAGCTTTCATTACCCTTACAGCGGGCTTCCGGGAGAAATGATGGTTAGATAGAACCTTGGGGTGCAGCGCTTAAACTGAAATACGGCAGCAAAGGCTCTGCTCGTGATCTGAAGCTGACAGCTGCAGGTCGCTGGCACAAGGCTGACTCGGCCTCTTGAGGTCAGTAAAAAGAGCACCCATCTCACTGGTGGTGGCGGGCGATGGGTAGCCTGCACAATTAAAAACTGTAAACTGCCCAAGGAATGCTTTAAGCGCTATGGGGTGGACTATAAGCAACACACATGGCTTTGTTGCTTTCAGAGAGAGGAAGCCGGCCTGATTCAATAGCACTTGTGTTTACTTTGAAAAGGGAAAGGGGGAAGCTCATGAACCGGGTATCAACTAGACAGGGATCTCGTGGTGTCGGGGGCTCCCAGAGGCATCTGGTGGGGGCCACAGTGAGATACAGGAAGCTGGACTAGATGGGCCCTTGGCCTGATCCTGCAGGGCACTTCTGATGTTCTAACCATGATGGGGCTGTGGTCAAAACCAACAGTCTTGTGGCCATTCTCAGTCAGTTTCTTCTCCATCACATCAAATACCCCGTGGCATGAGAATGAAGTGTATCCTGACACCCACTCCTAACCTGCACTTTGGCTCCATCAGCCTGGCTTACGGATCGATTCAGAACATGCGGCAAAACAACACACTTGAAAACCATCATCAACAGATGGAGAGAAAAAAGCAGAAGGAGGGAGGAGACCAACAGCACAAATCTATCTAGCATCCTGTAACATTTAGAGTCGGTTCAACTAGCTCAGTCATCAAATCTTTGAATCCTAGAATAACGGAGTTGGAAGGGGGCCTATAAGGCTATTGAGTCCAACGCGCTGCTCGAGGCAGGAATCCAAACCACAGCAGATCGGACGGAAGTTGGCTCAAAGTTCTCCTGAAGGTCCTCCAGCCTTGGGGGACTCATCACTTCCTGAGGTCAAGGGTTCCACTGTCGTACTGCTCTAACAGTTAAGAAGATTTTCCTGATATTCAGCCTAAATCTGCTGAATATCCAGCTTGGGACAGCCTCTTCCACCACTTCAGCCACTAAGGCCCACGGTTGAGGATCCACCGATCCCTAGCATCAGCATGACAAAAGAAAAGCCCATGCTTCAGCTGGTGCAGCAAGCGGCACAGAGAAGACGCGCACAGCGCAACACAACCCCAGTTGACCCTCAAAAGATACTGAAGAACTGATGGTTCAAAAAAAGGGGTCGTGCCAGAATGGGATATTCTCCCCAAGTCCTGGGGACTACCAGGGACCTACCTGATGGGGATCATTCCAATCATGATGAGAGGGAAGATCATCTTCATGTAGGGCAAAGGAGACATCCCGAAGCCGCACAGAATGAGAAGCTGGAGAACCTGCAAGCCGGTGAAATAGTGGATCTTCCTTTGGGGGACTCGGCGGATGTAGTGCGTTGGCGGGTAGGCGGTCTAGAAAGGACAGGTTGGTGAGTCAACGGAAAAGAGACCAAAACTGTTCAAACTCTCAAGAACGCTCATCCTTTTGTCAGGGAGGGTGTTACAAAATGTTGTTTCCCTCGTCACCAGAGACGGAAACGGGAGTCAAACGACTCGCTATCAAGTCGGACTTAAGTCACATGGGCAACTTGACTAATTTCTTGTTTCTTTTTTCCAGTGATTTAGACTCAACCTCTGAGTGTGATTTACGGGTGACGTTAGCTAGTCTTTTGTGTGCACTGCACACAGTGACAGCTCATCTCCCCCGACAGAAGAACTCTCAGAACCGCTATCCACTATTTTCTTGAAATCATGGGAAACGGGGGAGGTGCCAGAGGATTGGAGGAGGGCCAATGTTGTCCCTCTCTTCAAAAAGGGCAAAAAAGAGGAACTGGGAACTACAGGCCAGTCAGCCTGACATCAATCCCAGACAAAATTCTGAAACAGTTCATAAAATGGTCATTGTGCAAGTACCTAGAAAACAGTGCAGTAATAACTAGAACCCAACACAGATTTGCCAAGAAAAAATCCTGCCAAACTTACTTGATCTTGTTTTTTGATCAGGTCACCTCCCTGATAGACAGAGAGACATTGGGCTGGTGCTCTTCAATATTTTTTATTAATGATTTGGATGACTGCAAGGAATGCTCGTAAAATTTGCAGATGATACCAAATTGGGAGGAACAGCTAATACCCTAGAAATTCAAAATGACCTTGATAGGACGGAGCACTGAGCCGAAAGCAACAGAAGATAAGTCCTACACCTCAGAAAAAGAAAACAACTGCACAGTTACAAGATAGGGGATACCTGGCTCAGGAAAACTATGAGCGAGAAGGATCTTGAAATTGTTGTAGATCACAAGTTAAATATGAGCAAACAGAGTGATGTGGCTACAAAAAAAGGTCAATGCTATTTTAGGCTGCATTAATAGAAGTATAGTTTTCAAATCCTGCAAGGTGCTAGTCCCTCTCTATTCAGCACTGATTAGGCCTCACATTGAGTATTGTGTCTAGTTCTGGACACCACACTTCAAGAAGGATGCTATCAAATGGGAACAAGTTCAGAGGAGCATGACAAGGATGATCAGAGGGCTGGAAACCAAGACTTACGATGAAAGGCTGAAAGAATTGGGCATGTTTAGCCTTGAGAAAAGAAGACAGAGGGGTGATATAATAGTACTTTTCAAATATTTGAAAGACTGTCATACAGTGGAGGGGCAAGATCTGCTCTCGATCATTCCAGAGTGCAGGGCAGGCAACAACAGGTGCCAATTACAGGAAGCCAGATTTAGACGGAGTATCTGGAAAGCCACTTTTCAAATACTTGAAAGATAGTCATTGAGAGGAGGGGCAAGATTCGGCTCTCGATCATTCCAGAGTGCAGGGCAGGCAACAACGGGTGCCAATTACAGGAAGCCAGATTTAGGCGGAGTATCTGGAAAACCTTCCTAACTGTTAGTTAGAGTGGTATGACAATGGAACCAATGACCTTGGGAGGTGGTGAGCGCTCCAACATTGGAGGCATTCAGGAGAAAATTGGACAGCCCTCTGTCAGATGTGCTTTGATTCGGATTCCTGAACTGAGCAGGAGGTTGGACTTGATGGCCTTAATGCCTTGAGCAGGAGGTTGGACTTGATGGCCTTAAAGGCCCCTTCCAACTCCATTCTTCTATGACATACTCGAGAACTTTTAATGTCTTGTTTCAAAACTTTACTATGGGACAAGAGAGATTCAGGGGTTCTGAACAAGCTAAGAATTTGGGGTTGTACAGAAAACTTAACAGCACAAGAATAATCTTCTATAGCCCTTATAAGGGCAAATTTGGATTTAAAAGTGTCCTGGGGAAACCTCTACATGGAACTAAATCGGATTTATGGTATTTGAGGTGGAGGTTTTCCGAAGCCTCACTTGCTCCCTTGGCTATCAAGCAACAAAATTTGTTTCAACTGTATAACTGATATACCCTATAGATCCTGTTTTTCCGGGAGCACAATAAATATATATTTTTTTCATCTCCAAGCACACACCACTCCGGTTGTCCCCTCAGTATCTTCCCCACCTTCAGAGCAGATAACCAATTCGGCTTTTGGTAGCGTACTAAACAAAATCTTGCCAAATCCACCTTTAATCCTCTCCTTGCTACAGCAAACCCCGAGTTGGAGCAGTGGCACTTCTGACTCCTTTCGCTTTTGTGGCCTCTTAACAAAGAAGAAAAGGAATCAGGAAACAGCTCAGGAGAAACAAAACCGGAGGCGACTCTTTTGAAAAACTGTTGCTTCATGCCAAATTGGAGATGTTCTCATTAGGCATTAAAGGAGGAGTAGCTGCCCCTCCCCAGTGCCTTTTAACAAAGATGCAACATTTTGAGGCAGGCAAGGACCATTCTGAAGCTCCTCCAGAAAGGGCGTTCTGTGTTCATTTCTCAGGGGTTGGGGGACATGTACGCCTGAGAGGCCCTCTGCATAGTCAGGTTGGTGGGAAAGGTACTACAGTGGTAGCCCGCTAGATGATGACCTCGCAAAACGATGAATTTGCATGACAATGAGTATTTGCGATCACCATTGTGCTTTACAAAACAGTGTTTCCTATGGGCGATTTTTGCTGGACGATGTTTCAAGACGTTTATTTTGGGGGGTGATGCTTTGCAAGACGACGATTTTTACAGCCGATCAGCGCTTCGCAAAATGGCTTCCGTATGGGCAATCTTCGCAAAACGAAGACTATTTTCCCCATTGGAATGCATTAAATGGATTTCAATGCATTCCAATGGGGAAACGCTTTTCGCAAGATGATGTTTTAGCTAAACAGCGATTTCAATGGAATGGATTGACATCGTCTTGCAGGGCACCACTATATTGACATTTTCCAGATTGCACCCGGCAGAAACAGTCAGGAGTTTTGTCCCCTCCCAATTTGCATTTTTTTTCTTGTGTCCCTGTGAGAAGGGCCATTTCCTTCCTTCCTTTTCCTTTCGTTCCTTCCATTCCCTTTCCTCTCCTTCCCTTCCTTCCTTCCCTCCTTCCTCCCTCATCTTCTCTCCATGCTGCATGTTCTTCCATAAGCTTGGCTAAGACTTCCAGAGGTGCAGCTTGTCCTTTGGCTGCATGCATCTGCATCTCCTCATTTTAAAACGAGGCCAGGTTGCCCTTTTAATATCTGAAGCAAATTTACACATACTGCAGAAACACAACCAGTAGGGATTTGTGTGGAATCTTACTTTGTGACTCCCTCTTCAACCTCTCACTTTTTTGGACTTCCTCTGGAAATCTTCCCCCCACCCTGCGTCCCTCTCCTGGAAGCCTGAATCAATGCAGAAACTAAGAATTCCGAGGCAGGACGGCTGGCGTGACTAAGAAAGGATGTATTGGGGTTTCTTTATTCTGAGCTTTTAACCTCACCGTGCCCAGAGGGTGGTTAATGCGACCAATCAAGGAAGTAAATAAGTCAAGAAAACCCCTATCCAACATTTGGAGGAGCATTCACCAAAACAGTGTGGGCTTAGCTAACTGATCCGTGGATCTGTGCACCATCTTAATAATATTTTCCTACTTTTTTCCCCAGAAGCTCAAGTTAAACAGGCCTGTACAGAAGATGGCCCGTAAAATGCGTGAGCCTTAACGCCATGCTCTGAAAGTGCGTAGTACCAATGAGTAGTTGGGCCATTTCTGTTTTAAGTGGCCATTCCTAACCCGGTCAATTCAGAGGCCTAGATTCCAACCCACAGCCTTCTGATGGCACAGGAATTTGGTCAGGTGGTCGGACAAAACGGCTGCCCTTCACTTACGTTTCATAAATGTGGCCGTTCTCGACCCTCTCCTCCACGTAGGCCAGAGCTCGGACGTGCATGGGTGAGTGAGGGAAGGCAGCGTGGATCCACGGTAACCCAAAGACGGATAACCCAGTGTTGATCAGAGCTACGAGCAGCAGGTCCCAGTGGTAAGCAGTTCCCTTTACTAACCTGAAATAAACTCTTGTTAGTAAAAGGATATAAGCATACTAGCCAGGTCGTAGCAAGTCAGAACAGCCTCCCCCTACCCATTTTGTCTCCCCTACAAACCTAAATCTCTTATCACTATACACTCTGCAATGAATGAGCTAAAGCACATCAATTTGAGGGTCACATTAGAGGTTTGAACGAACAAGCATGCCCTAGGATTAAACTGTTTTTCCGCCCACCATGAGATCTCTTCAGAGAGACGTGCCCAGCAGACTTGCCAACAAAGTCTGTGTTTGTCCTCCGGCGATCAGCCAGAGAACAAAACATACTAAAGGCAAGATACAGAGGTGAGGAAAATCCTATGCTATGACAAACAAACAACTTTTCCCACTCGAAGGAGGACCTCTGCTGAAAACAAAGTCAGGGTCACTCAATTTGACCCTGAATTTTATTTTATTTATACTCCATTTGGAAGACAGTGATGACCAACAGAAGACCTAATACTTAAATCAATGCTTCGGGGAAAATGGCTTTTTTGAATACCATGATCAGAAGCCAAGCTGGCTGAAGGTTTCTGAGAGTTAAGAGTACAATCCCCACTCAAAATCCTGTTTGCACTAGATCCATAATATCTGATCAGTTCATGTTATTGCCCCAAGCAGGTCTTGCATAAACAAAGTGGCTGTTTGCATTCAGCAGTGAAATAATTTCTGCATTCTTTTCTTCTTCTTTTTTTTTTAACAGCTGCTTCTATTTACATTCTGATCTAATAATTAAGGGAGAGACCTGGAAACAGTAGAGGAAATGTGTGTTTCTTGAACGCTGGGCTGGACAAACTTGAAACGACCGTTTGGCCCTGGCCCTCATCCTTCGCTCCAGATGAGTAAGAGCTGGTTGTGTTCGCAGTGAGAGCAAAGACTCTCCTTTGTACCTATTAACAATGATCAAGGCAGAGCTCTTTTAAAAAAAACCAACTGTCCCGTGCATTAAGCTCAGCCCTAGACCAAATGTGCATGACAGGATACTTTTCAACCTCTATTTTTGGAATGTGAAAACAGAGAACCCAACTTGTCTTGCTCCCAGTAAATGTCCAGGCAGTGGGCAAAATGGGACTTTAATGGGGAACCTGAAAATCCTTAAAGTGGCCCGGCTTTTTGATGTCAATGTACAGAAGAGGCTTTCCGTACTGATCCCGGGTCACATAGATATATTTATCTTTTCTCAATCATCTGTCCTACCACATTGTAAACTGATGCTGCACCACTGGGTTTTTAAAAAATTCTATGTGTTTTTGTAATTGTCCTTGAATTTTATTTGCTAAACTGCCCAGAATCATGGTGGCTTAAGAAGAAGTTTGCACTAATAGGGCTTTCTATGAATGAATGAATGAATGAATGAATGAGAAGAGAAGGATAGATACTTGGCACTAGAAACTTGCAGATGAGTTGTTTGCCCCAGTGGATTAAAAAAAGCGAAACTAAAAGATTTACAGCCTTAGTACACATAGTAAGGTTCCCCCTGACATTTTTAGTCCAGTCGTGTCCGACTCTAGGGGGCGGTGCTCATCCCGTTTTTCAAGCCGTAGAGCCAGCGTTTGTCCGAAGACAGTTTCCGTGGTCACGTGGCCAACGTGACTAGGGAATGCCATTTTACCTTCCCACCGAGGTGGTACCTATTTATCTACTTGCTTTTGCATGCTTTCGAACCGCTAGGTTCGCGGGAGCTGGGACAAAGCGACGGAAGCTCACTCCGTTGCGTGGATTCAATCTTATGACTGCTGGTCTTCTGATTGTGCAGCACACAGGCTTCTGCGTTTTAACCCACAGCGCCACTACACATAGAGACGTGGTTTCCCCTTCTCTTCTTCTGGAGAGAAATCCCTGGGACATTGCGGCTTGCCTGAGGTGTCTGCAGTTTAACCCGCAGCGCCACTACACATAATAATAAATAATAATCATGTGCCTCCAGTCAATTGTGACTTACGGCAGAGAAGTGGTTTCCCCTTCTCTTCTTTTGGAGGGAAATCCCTGGGACATCACGGCTTGCCTGAGGCGACACAAGCTGGCTCTACTCCTAGGAGACCCACTGAGGAATCAAACTCCCAACAGCTGGCTCCGCGAAACCCCTGAGCTATCCAACCAGCTACTCTCATAAATCTTAGGATGTGCTTTCTTTGATTTATAAAGTTATATAGGGAACATCCACAAAAACCTGACAAGCCTTCTGCTTGATAAAAGGAAATCAACAAATCCCATCACAAAGCCGGCTTCCCTTGATTCTAGCTGGTATCCAAACATCCAAGGGAATAGTTGAGTGCTTTGGACCCTCGCTTCTGAGCCGGTGCATCAATCGGGAGCTGTAGCTAGATAAAAGCAAGGCCCTGGTATAATTTTTCTTCCCTTTCTAGCACACTGGCTTCTGCAGAGGGAAATCGAAGGGTTGAGACGAACACCTTTCCGAATGTCTCTTTTTAAAGATGAACAAGTAGGAGGGAGGCTTGCCAAAAGACTGCACGGAGCAGAAGGGCCCGCAGGAAACCCCGCTGTCTTCTGCAGGCGGATGGGAGGGAGCATGCAAGAGGATGTCACGCAGGATCTCAAGGAGGGTGGTCCTTCTCTATCAACCAATTGGGGTCTTCGGGCAGGGCAACCTCTCCCAACGGGCTGTCTTCAGAGGTGCGTTGGTGGTCTACAGCGAGTCTGTAACTGGAGAATGGCTGGCATAGTCCGTCCTGAAATGCGCACCCTTTAAAAGGCCTACGTTTATGGGATTACTCAAGGAAAGATGAGGGCAGCTCTCGGTTGGTGTTGAAGTGCTTCCCATTTCTAATGGTCGTTCAAGATGCAAGCCAATGAGGTATGGTTTTCATGAGATGGACGCATGAAATCCAGAAATCCCCACCACTTCTGGACTCACTAGAAATGGTGGCCAATATGTCTTCTGATGTACAGGATTTCTTCTTTTGTGTGTGTGTGCAAGGAACAATCATGCATAAAATGTGTTCTTTGCAGGTAGCAAGGGAGATCTCCAGGCAGATACCAGGATGGAAGGAAGGAAGGAAGGAAGGAAGGAAGGAAGGAAGGAAGGAAGGAGAGGGCATGTAGGTTGGCAGTGGACTTTGGTTTTTAGTTAGCTTTTTCCCTCTCTTTTTGCCTCTGGAGCTAGCTAGCAAGCAAAGATATACTTTGTAGGAAGATGAAGAATAATCCCCAAATTCCTCATCTCCAGAGTGAGAGTGAGACAACTGCCACTGTTTTGTGTATGTCAAGATTTCTGAAATGCACATACTGTCCATGGAGCAGTTTCTTGATTTGGTATCTTTTCTCTCCAAGAAACAAAGCAAGCATGGAATGACTGGCTTGTGGTTTTAAATAAGATTCAAGCTACCGATCTAAAGCTTCTGAAAAACTTAAGGAACAAGGCAGTACCAATTGTACTTTTGATTAATTTATACAGTTAGCATGAAGATTCTCCTGTTAATACTGGGGTATCTACTATTTTTTCCTATTAGGAAGAAAAACGCACATCTTTTTGATACTGTAGCCGACTGATTTCTGTTTGCTTTAATGTTTGCTTTCCAAATTGTCTGCAACGCACGAGCAAACCAGGAAATTCATACAAAACAAATTTAAAAGTCATTTTGAAAACTAATTTGAAAAATGCAGAATTCTGTGGGGGAATCAGAGCATCACGTCCCATAGGATATAGCTCTCTGTGTAATCTCTACCTTGCAGTTGCATGGGTCGAGATTCACCTGTTCAAAATAACAGGGCTCCTCCTTGGATAGGAGGGGAGTAAATCTTACCCCGCACAAAAGTAAGGGCAAGAACCACCACCCATGCAGCAGACTGTGGTAAAATTGAACCAGGCTCTGCCCTTTACTTAACACTGCAAATAGACATGGTTTCAAACAACAGGCTTTTGGAAACCCAAAATATAATACATGCCATTGTAAAGCAAGACATGCTGCATACATACTGCGCTATAGCATTTAAAAGCATTCTCTTGGGGGTTTACAAGTTAACTGCTGTACTTTTTAACTGGTTACAAAGCAAGAAGCTTATGTCTGAGTAATGATTTTGTATTTTGTGATTTCGTTACGATTTTGTAATGTATAAATTGAATTTGCTGTTCTGAGCTATAAAGGAGGTCAACTCAGATCTGTGGCTTGAGGAAGGTCGACTTAAATATTCCGGAGTAGCAACCTTGGCTTGTTCAGTTTATGTCAGACAACCTGCAAAAGGCCATGCTGAACTATTTAAATATGCCTTCCTTAATTAAAATAAATTAAACCCAAGATTCCAGAATTTTAAGCATCCAGGCCTCATAAGGAAAGATGCAATGCTTGATGTGAGACCTCCTGATGGAGACTGTAGCTTTCCGGTGCTTCAAATGACGTGGGCTTAAAAGGAGAAGTACGAATCAAAAGGGGTGAGCCCATAACCAAGAAGATTACCTGTTCTCGGGGGCATTTGTGAGCGATGCCACTATATTTTGCTCAATGAAAAAAAGCATGGAAAGGAGGAAGCCGAGGCCCATGGTGCTCATTACGGAGCCGACGGAGAGATCCCGGAGGGGCGCCAGCTCAAACAAGCTCTCCGATTGATTGTAGTTAAATTGAGACACTGAAAAACAGAAAACGCCACAGTTAGCTCCCTCAAGCCTCGTTTAGATCTGCCAGGGATTTGAACTATCCACCTAAGTGAACAGAGTTCACTGGTGGAAGAAAAATGGGCTCTTCAGATTTCCATTTCAGATGACGATGACGAGTCATCAACAAGGGGGGGAAACAGTCTTAGTAACTCATCGCCAGCAGAGATACTCAGAGGCCGACAGCACGTTCTCGTGTGGCTCAACGATAAAGACTTATGAATTAACTCTGCTTACCTTCTGATGGCCAGTCACAAAACTAAACAAGCTACTTCTCTAGCTACAAGAAAGAGAGAAACCCTTTGCTAGGACAAACAGATGACTTTTACCCACTTTAAGGGAGCTCCGTTTCCAAACATGAGCAATATCGGCTGTCTGCTTTGATCCTATAGTTTTATATCACAAGGCAACCATCACATTTATCATCCACAAGGTCAGGAATCGCAGTTCTGAGCTGCTCAGGTTTGGCTAGCCCATCCTGTCCTTGCAGATCCTTGGCTACATATTTTTTCACAGTGGTTTATGACAGCCATTCTCAACGGGGGGGGGGCATAGGGCTCCTTGGGGGCTCCTGGAATATTTGAAGGGGGCCACAGACTGGAAACAATGCTTCATACACCACCTCATAAGGTTCATTATGCAACTTACACAATCCTTATTCGGCCTATATTTGTTTCCTCTTGTGTTTACGGCTGCGGCCAAGAAAAGGTTAAGAATGGCTGGTATAAAGATCACAGCTCCAAGGAATTCACCCTTAGCCATGGGTGGGATTTTTAACACACCCAATATTACTTTGTTAAAAGACCAACTATCTACCTCTCCTTGCTGTTGTTGTTGTGTCATTTAGTCGTGTCCGACTTGCTGGCAAGGTGATGTCTCTGCTTTTAAAGATGCTGTCGAGGTTTGTCATTGCTTTCCCCCCAAGAAGCAGGCGTCTTTTAATTTCGTGGCTGCTGTCTCCATCTGCAGTGATCATGGAGCCCAAGAAAGTAAAATCTGTCACTGCCTCCATATCTTCCCCTTCTATTTCCCAGGAGGTGATGGGACCAGTGGCCATGAACTTAGTTTTTTTGATGTTGAGCTTCAGACCATGTTTTGCGCTCTCTTCTTTCACCCTCATTAAGAGGCTCTTTAATTCCTCCTCACTTTCTGCCATCAGAGGGGTATCGTTTGCATATCTGAGGTTGTTGATATTTCTTCCGGAAATCTTAATTCCGGCTTGGGATTCCTCCAGTCCAGCCTTTTGCATGATGTATTCTGCATCAAAGTTAAATAAGCAGGAGGACAATATACAGCCTTGTTGTACTCCTTTCCCAATTTTGAACCAATCCGTTGTTCCATATCCAGTTCTAACTGTTGCTTCCTGTCCCACATATAGATTTCTCCTTACTTCACCCTAAACCCCTTCTTCAATGCCAAGACCCTCATATTTGTCATATGCATCTCCCATTTCCGTCCTTGGCTTGGACCACAGATTGGTGACGAACGGCGTCCTCTCGCCGATGACATATTTTCCTCATTCTCCGTCCACATCAAAAGGACCATCTGCTGGTATTTTTGTTGTGTTCGGATGGATGAAGCCGTATCACTGGAAACCACACTTCGGTCATGTTCAGAAAGTGGCCGACACCTTCAGGGCAAACGCCAGAGTTAAATCTTTCATCCCTCCAACGGGTAGGGCCAATTCCAGTCTTCGTTCTTCCTTTGAATGCTACACAGTGGGACTTGTTTTGCACATTCTTTCTCTCTCGACAGGTGGCAGGGGAGCAATTGTCAGTAAGGAAGCCCCCACACAACAAAAAATGGCCACTTTCCAGCTCTGAATGGATAGAATGATGGTCACCTTTCTTAATTCACATCCATTCATTCCCCCACACGCTTCCTGTTCACGTCATCGCTCGCTTGTGCAATTCCTGTCTCTTTTCACTCTTTTCCTGATGTGGAAAAGGTGACCCGTTTGGCGACCTGGGATCTTGGATAATTTTTAAGATTTCCTTGTGCCTCTGATACTCCTACCAGATGTTCAGGGCTATGAGCACATTTTAATTAGGAAAAAGTACAAACTGGCAGTGAAAAAAAACCACACACACACCGCAGGTCACACTTATCAACACAGCCTTTGTATGTTTGCCGACCGCCTTTCCTGCCTCTGGTAATTTGGCAACTCTTTAGTTCCCTTGCCACAATCATCAAAGGGACGAACTCTTTAAAATAAAAAAAAGAAAGGAAAGAAGAGAGAATGCCATTTTAATGATGCTAAATTAAATTACTGACAGGAATAACTTAAGGGGACAAAACCAACTGTGTTGATACCATCTCGTTTGATTATCTCATTGAAGGAATTAGCATCGATTGGGGATGCAGGCAGTCGGAACAAGACTAACAGCCCCTTTTTTTGGTGGGGGGGAACCAAGTTTGGATGTTACCCCCTTCAGCTTCCCACTTTCCCCTCTTCTAGTAAAGAATCAGAATATCCCAACTTACTCCTTATTTCCTTGAAGAAATAGGACCCAACAACGGAGAACGTTAGGACCGAAATGGGTAAGGCACAGTCGGAAAGGATTTCGCGGACTCTGGCGTGCAAATAAGGGCTGAAATGAGATAAGAAATCTTGTCAGAAGGAACGCATGTATACACACCCTTTTTCGGAGGCTAACACATGAGCAGAAGGTCTTTGTCCGTGGTGGTTGAGAACGGCTGCTGGCTCCTGAAGGGCGGCCATTCTCAACCTTTGCTTGTGTTTTGACCAAGGCCCTTTGAGGAACTGTAAATGCCAAGTTTTTCGGGAGGTTAATAATTCAGAAAATCAAGTAATTCACAGGGCTGCCATAAGTCGGACATGACTTGATGGCGGAAAGTGACAACACCCTGCCTTTAAAAGGACCTAAGGCGGCTTGAAGATTTCAAGATAAAAACAGTCAACATACACATACTAAAATGGATGAAGCAAACACCGCACTAAAAAAATGGGAAACAGACGCAACAGTTTTCAGGAAATCTCACGGGGACGCCCGGTCTGTCTTCCGTCCTTCCGAATGGAAGTCCGAACAAGAGCCAACGGGAAGCGCAAAGCTGAAACATACCTTTTTTTAAACTGGTACAGCGTGTGCCCCAGCCAAAGGGTCCCCAACATCAGCATGAGGCTAAGAACGGCTGTCTCGCGCCCGTAATGCACAGGGGAAGGGGGGGCCTCTGTCTGGTTCCCCAAGGCAGAGCGATCCACAGACATATTCCAGATGTTGGTGGCATTGTCCGCAGGTGTGCTATGGTAGTGATGTGTAAAAACTAAAAAGCAAGGGGGGAAAAAACAGAAAACATCTTGATAGCGGCCCAGAAGAGGCACCTATGGAGTGTCATGTGTTTCAAGACGTATGCCGAAATCTCCCTGAATCATCTCTATGGGGGGGGGGGGGTAAAGAGCTGGGCAGATTACATTCACCATGCATTCATTAATAAAGGTAAAGATTCCCCTTGACAATTTTTGTCCAGTCGTGTCCGACTCTAGGGGGCGGCGCTCATCCCGCTCTTCAAGCCATAGAGCCAGCGTTTGTCCGAAGACAATCTTTCCGTGGTCACATGGCCAGTGTGATTTAGACACGGAACGCTGTTTACCTTCCCACCGAGGTGGTCCCTATTAATCTACTTGCATTTGCATGCTTTCGAACTGCTAGGTTGGCGGGAGCTGGGACAAGCAACGGGCGCTCACTCCGTCGCGTGGGTTCGATCTTATGACTGCTTGGTCTTCTGTCCCTGCAGCACAGGCTTCTGCGGTTTAGCCCACAGCGCCACCATTCATTAATACTGTCATTAATTTTAAAGGAAAGACTTCACCCTTCAGGATGTGATTTAAAGGCAGAAGGACCAAGCCGTGCCTGCTTAAAGGCTCTTCTGACCGTGTACACCATGTCTACTGTCTGTTTATCATCACCGTGTCCTTAAATTGGAGGTTGCACCAGATGGCTAGTATCTTACTGCCTGCTAAAGAATGCTTACAATGGCCCTTCTTACAGGAATCATCTTTGCAAAGAAAACAAAAGCTTTTCTAGGATCAACCACTTGTCAGCCATCCAGAAGGAAAATGAAGCACAAAATACACCAATCTCTCCATGCCTCAAGTGTATTGTCTAGTGAAAGCATCAAGGGTTTGAGCTACATAAAAAAGTTACGGAGCAGCAGTAATTTACTCTCCTGTTCTTTAGATCAAGTCCTCTATATATAGACAATCAAGGCCTATAAAGAGCCAGGAAGGGCTCTGCTTCTAAGCCCAGAATCATATGACTGTAGAGGTGGAAGAGCTACCAAGGGCCTTCCAACGTCTTCTTCATGCCTGTTTTGTGTACAAGGGAGTTTCCGAAAGAGTCAAGCTGGTGGCCCCAACTATACAGCTTTTCCAGTTTACAGTTCCTACCCCTTAGATGCCTTCTCTGACCACCTTTCCTTCCAATCGTAGAGATGTACACTCAAATCCTAGCTGCACCCACTTGGGAGTCAGTATTACACAGGCCATCTCTTCGCTCTTGGGAAGACTCACTCCCAGATCTGCCCTGGATTACTGCTGCATAAATATTCCCACAAATCAATCTCTCTCAGCCACGAGTATCACACAGCTGACCAGGATTCCCGGTGCCCTCACGCATGGGCAGTAACTCACAACTCAACTAGGTCCACGGAATCATGAGGATTTTGATGAGTCAATTCCTCCCTAAGTTCCACTGATTTAATCGGCTTACTCTCGTCTCAACTTGCTACTAGAGTTGAGACACGGTCTCTCAACCTGTTTGTGCATTCTATCCTTGTTCTCATGAGCTGAGGGTGGGTTTAGCTCTCCGTGTATATCCGTGTGCACCATCGATTCTGACTTACAATGACTCTCCCGGGGTCTTCTAGATACAAAGTCCTCACTTATACTTTCTCTCCTGTTGGGGCTTTGGCCCCATGCAGCTTGCCCAAGGCGACCCAGTTGGCAAGGTACGTAACCCCATCAGCAGGATACAATCCGGGAGATCTTAACTGGAGTCACGGGTGGGGTGGGGACTCAAACACCTGACCCCTGGTTCTACAGCCACCAACCCAACGAGCTATTTTTGCCGTCGATTTTATCCTTACAAAACTTTATAAGGAAAGTAAGGCTTGGGAGTAATAGAACGGGTGCCATCCAGTAAATCTCATGGCTGAGTAAAATTCTGAACCTAGAGGCCCATCAATCTCAGTCAAAATCCCAAGGCGCCATCTAATACCTGCGTCTGTCTATATGGCACCACATGTATATAGACACGCTGCTTTGTATGGAAGTATTTGGCAGCTAGCTATCATAACCTGTCACTTAACAAAATCTCAGTATTTAATATTCTGCTGCTAGCCTGATACAGCCCAGCTCAGCAGCTGAATGACTCCCTCGGCAGGAAAAGTGCTTATGGGACGGACCTCTATAAACAACAGAGGCAGCTGTGACATCTTTACTAATGCAGGGCGATCCTAGCTGGGGGAGTCATTTAAGGTCCCTCCCCGGTCCCTCTGATCCTCTTTGGCCTTTCCTTGTTTGCTTCAGCTGCTGCCTGGCTGCTTCCTGGAAAAGTGCAGAAGTCAAGATCAAACGGGAGTGAAGCTTAGGGAGCTGAATCGCAACCCTGGGAAAACAGAACGGTCATTAGGGCTGCTGTCGAAAAGAATGTGGTGGCTTCAGCTCTCCTGTTGTCCACCCCAGTCTTCCTCGGGACGTGATCCAAAAACCCTCTCCTTCCTCCTCTTTCCTGCATGGCTGAAAGGGGGAGGGGAGAAAAGGTTTTAGAAATGAAGAGGAATATTAAACTGATTTTCCTTTAGAAGGAAATGGGGTACCTGTTGAGATGAATAGGACCCCCTTCCCCTGAAAAAAAGCAGAACTTCCCCTGACAAAGAGGGGAGATCGATGAAGGCTGTTGCTTCTAATCCCTCTCTCCCTCTGCAGATAAATAGGCCATGGGAGAACTACTGAAATCTGGGCAAAAACAATTTTCTTTAGGATAAGAGCCCCTTTCTCGCCTTTGCTACCGAGAACAACTGTGATCCAATTTGTGTATTTTATTTATTCAATGCATCTCCTCTCCAACCAACAAGTGCTCAAGCAATTTGCAAAATGAAACCATGAGATGAATCATCTTTAATCTAATGCAATCTAAAGATACTGTATATTCATCGGAATAAAAGAAGAGAAAAGGTATTTACTGTATTTTTCCGTGTACAGTGGTGCCTCGCTTGACGAAGATAATCCATGCCGTTGAAATCGCTGTTAAGCGAAATCCTCGTCAAGCGAAATTAAAAAGCCCTTTAGAATGCATTAGAAACCGGCTAATGCGTTCTAATGGGCGAAATACCTCATTATGAAGCGTGGCCATTTTCCAGTGCCTGTCTTGCAAAAAATGCCTCCTAAAAACAACGGGGGGCCATTTTGACAGCCGGTGGCCATTTTGAAAACTGCCTATCATCTGTTGAAAAAACATCGTTTAGCGAAAAATCCGTTCCCGAAGCAAGGAACCGATTATCACTAAGCGAAAAAAAAAACAATTTAAACATTTGTTTTGAGATCGCTTCTGTGATCGCAAAGACAACATCATGAAGTGGATTCGTTGTTAAACGGGGTAATCGTCAAGCGGGGCACGACTGTATAAGATGATACTTCCGTCTAAAATCTTTAGATTAAAAATTGAGGGTCATCTTATACACAGAAGTAAGGAAGGGGGCTTTCCCCCTCCACTTTCTTGCGAAGAAAAAAATTTTGGGTTAAAAAAGTCTGTGATCGCAAAGACAACATCATGAAGTGGATTCGTTGTTAAACGGGGTAATCGTCAAGCGGGGCACGACTGTATAAGATGATACTTCCGTCTAAAATCTTTAGATTAAAAATTGAGGGTCATCTTATACACAGAAGTAAGGAAGGGGGCTTTCCCCCTCCACTTTCTTGCGAAGAAAGAAATTTTGGGTTAAAAATGTGGGCTGGCGTCTTATACACAGAAAAATACGGTACGTGTGTTGCCATAGATAGACTCCGGTATCAGATGGTGTTTTGAGATTCTTCTTGGTAGCCCCTAGGACTGGTCTTGATTTGAGCTTGCCTGCACCAGGGAAGAAGTTCATGTTAGAAGCTACTCCGTCCCAGTAACTCTTTCTCGTAACCACACGACCTGAGACTAAGCCTTCTGAAGTTGGGTCTCAACTAGATTTTTGGTCAAGAAGCATTCGAATTTCAGGTTGTTCGTTTGGAGCACCACATTCCTCAAAGCCTTCTGGCTTTGCAAAGGAAGTCGAGACTGCAACCCGTACCCTGGTTTTCAAAATTAACACAAAGAAAAGCATTCAGCTGTTCGGGCTTACCTTTGGTTATACCTTTAAGGGCATCAAGAACAAAGGTAATGGAGATAAAAAGTGCAATGATTTCTTCTGTTGACCTATGAAAATATGGGAGGGGGGAGAAGAGAAAAGACATGTCAGCATTATAGAAAGCCAGTTGGGTATGAAAGCCAATAGTTGCAAAAAATATCGTCTTCAGAGGAAATTATTTGAACAGTCAAACAGATACAGGATTACACCGCCTTCCAATATCTTGTCTTAAGGTGGGACTCCATATCAGCAACTCTTCAAATCAGATTGCTGCTTCTCAAGATCTTTTGAAAAGGCATTATTCAGCAAATTTTAGCTTTGCCTTCTTGTTCCTGAACTTAGTCAATTCGAAAAGAATTGGGAATTAAATATAAGATCTTATTTACGCCAACCTGATGCTAAAGCGGACACTCTGTCCTAGCTATATACTAAGGCTCTCTTTGGCTTTCACACCTAACCACAGAGTTTGTGCTACTCACAGTTCAGGACCCAAATCACAGTTTGAGCTGCCATACATGCAGCAGGAAAATCATGGTTTGTCTTGGTTCCCATCTAGAATGTATTCAGCTTCACAAGTTTACTCCTTGCTGCTATTATGCAGAGATCACAACTATTTGTAGTTGATTTGTGATCTTTTGCTTTGACGTTTCTTTTATTTTATGATGTCATATCAATTTGCCATGGTGTGTTTTATGATTACTTGTTTTTGTTTAGTTGTTAAGTCGTGTCTGACTCTTCGTGACCCCATGGACCAGAGCACACGCCAGGCCCTCCTGTCTTCCACTGCCTCCCGGAGTCGGGTCAAATTCATGTTGGTCACTTCGGTGACCATGTCCAACCATCTCGCCCTGTATCATCCCCTTCTCCTCTTGCCTTCACACTTTCCCAGCATCAGGGTCTTTTCCAGGGAGTTTTCTCTTCTCATGCGATGGCCAAAGGATTGGAGCCTCAGCTTCAAGATCTGTCCTTCCAGTGATCACTCGGGGTTGATTTCCTTTAGAATGGATAGGTTTGTTCTCTTTGCAGTCCAGGGGACTCTCAAGAGTCTCCTATTTCCCAGGAGGTGAAGGGACCAGTGGCCATGATGTTAGTTTTTTTTTATGTTGAGCTTCAGACTGTTTTTTGCACTCTCCTCTTTCACCCTCATTACAAGGTTCCTTAATTCCTCCTCACTTTCTGCCATTTCTGATTACTAATTGTGTTTAATTCTCTGTTGTACACAGTGCCCAGTTTGGCCCCAGGCCAGATGGCATGATATAAAAGTTAACTAATGAACGAACGAACGAACGAACGAACGAACGAACGAACGAACGAACGAACGAACGAACGAACGAACTAACTAACTAACTAACTAACCTAAGCCAGTTTCTGGTTTACAATTCTGATTTGTTGGTTTAGCCCCAAAGTCAAGGCTTTTAAGTCTGGTATAAGATATTAAGTCAACCAGAGAAAAGCTTTAGAAAACATATGAGGAAGAAGGAGTAGGTGATGTCTGAATACAGCTTAAAATGTGTTGCACCCAAGACCACGCAGTATAGATAAGCTGTCATTTAGGACCTTTTTTGTTGCTGTTGTTCTCACAACCAGAAAAGACAGATTTTTTCAACACTATCCGAGAGAATCTGAACAAGACACTTAAGCAAAGGCCCTTGAAAGTGCTGAAATTGAACAGCAGATGCCTAGGAAAGGAGCATGCAACCAACAGAACGGAGGAAATCCCCCAAAGTACTACAGGCCAGCTAGCCCAAGAATGCGCACAAGAAGGTATGCATAGCTCATGCCCGCTTAACGTAAAATTGAGCTGGCATAAATGCACCAGGCCTTATGCACGGTGGAAAGGAACTGAGCAGTGGAATTGCACAATTGCTTTTCCATCCCCAGCATGACAAACTAGTCAATGTGCCAGCAGAAATGCTTCAGGGATACGCTTCCACATGCTAGCGCAAGGATCATGCACACAGTCTCAAGTGGTGCAGAGGTACTTGTGCAATAGGATTTTCTGGGTTCAAGACAAGGATTAAAGGAAAACCCTGAAGTGGAAAGAAAGCCACTGTATATAAAAAAAACCCAAAACAAAACCCCAGCTCTCTTCTCTGTATAAAATTAAACTTCAGTCTTGGCTTTACTTAGGAATGGGTAAATCGGTGCATTGCATTTCCATTGAGTTTTCCATTTTTCCTCTGGCCCGCGTTCATAAAATTTCCTTTAAGTCAGCATGAAAACATAGGTGTGTTTTCTAGCAAGTGCACTGTTTTTTCTAAATACAGTGATGCCCCGCTTGACGACGACCCCACTTGATGACAAAATTGCTTGACGATGAGTTTTTGCGATCGCTATTGTGATCGCAAAACAATGGTTTCAATCGTTTTTTTGCAAAACGATGGTTTCAATGGGGTTTTTTCGCATTATGTCAATTAGGAGCCTGCTTCGCGAACCGTTTGTTCACTAAATGATGATTTTTCCGGTTCTGTAAAATGGCTTCCCTCCCTTCACAAAATGGCTACATTCCGGACCTCTGTTTCGGAAGACAGCGATTATCATTGTCAAGCAGGGCACCACTGTATATTCATTTTTTGGTAAACATTTCCTACTGCACACATTTTTGTATGAAAGGGTTGCTTGCATAATTATCTTGTCAACTAACTGCCCAGAGGTTGGTTGCTTTAGCAACAAGATAGACAGAATATGTCACTATTTTTATGAATTAATACAGAAAACCAAAAAGAGATTTTCATGCTCAGGTGGGTTCGTTCCCTAACACAGAGGTCCCCAACCCCCCCGGTCTGCGGCCCGTTGCCGGTCCATAGCCTTAGCTGGAATGGGCCACGGAGACAGACTTCCCCCCCAACCTTCACCCGCACTCCCCCCTGCACAGCCTGTTTGCGCATGTACATGTGCGAGCGCTCCCCCACCCGTTCGTGCCTCTGCGCGAGCATCCCCCTGCTTCTTTGCACATGCGCATGAGAGCATGAGCCCATGCAAGCACCCTCCCCCGCTCCTTCGCACCTGCACACGAGGGGTGCCCCGTCTTCCCCATCCAGTCTGTGGGGTTAAAAAGGTTGGGGACCGCTGCCCTGACATAACCGTGCCCACAGCCCCACTAGGCGAGCCACTGCTCACCCTGAACAGGCACCGAGGCGTATTCATATTGCCATGACATTAATACCCCTCCTGCTGAACGATGTGAGAAATAATTAAGAAGCACTTACCTTTTGAAGAGCTTCATTACAAGGCTGAAATTAAAAAGGGCGTACAGCATGAGGAAGAAGCTGTTCCAGAGGCCGACCCAGGCATAGAAAGCACTGAACTGCAACTTGTAATCGTCACAGATTCCTTTGATGACTGAAAACAAGAAAGAAGCGTGAGTCGGCAGGATATCAAGCCCCTCTCTCGCTAGTGTTGGTCCTCACATGGCCAAAGAGGACACCAGCCACTCATGGGATGGGTCTCAACTTCCTCCTCCAAAGTTTGCTGAACACATCAAAATATTTAGGAGCAACCATCCCACAAGGAGTGGGGGGACACAATGTAGGGACATGGAATGCTAGCTGGCAAGGAGAGGTTTGGTAAATGGGGTGGCGCTGGCATGCAACATTTCTGGAAAAGAGCAGTGGCGGCTGGCACATGGAAGACTAGACTCTTGGCAACATATTATTGCAATTCCCATGGTCTCAGGTGGTATTCCAGTTGTTCACATAGCAAACATTTACCTCCCCCCCCACACAGAAGTGTGCCCTACTCTCATTACTAAAGCTATCAGCCAACCTTTCAAGTAGGAAATGGGAAATGAACGAAACAGCCACCACTTCCCTTTCCGAACCGACTCCTACAAGCGTAAGGAGCATGGGCTGTATCCGGAAAAATCCTTCATTTACTTCTCAAGTTTCCCTCCAAAGATGAACCAGCACAAACCCACAAACCAGCAGTCCGTATCCTTCTCTATTCATGAGATCCCCCCTTCCCCACATATTTAACCTCACACAGAGCCCCAGAGAGGCTGGGTGGACCGGCCCCACGGACACCCAGCAACCCTTGCTGCCGCGGTTCCAAACGTTGGGTTGCCCACGTGTTTTTGGACTGCAGAAACCTTCACCACCCGCTGTGTGGGCTGGGAGTTCTGGGAGTTGTAGTCCACGAACACCCGGGTGACCCAAGGTTGGGCGCCACCACCTTACAGCCAGGCAGCCGCTTGAAATTGGCTCCCCCTCACACAAAAGCCGTTACGTGTGCATACAGACGTACAAGGAATGCTTGTGTTTCTGGACTACGACTCCCAGAATTCCACAGACCGCATGGGCAACTGCAGGCCTAAAAAAAATTCTAAATACGGACATTTTTAACACATAACACGCGCAAGCAAGGCTGCGGTGCTGGACTCACCGTTGATGTACAGCGCCAAAGGAGCCGTCGTTAAGAGCACAACGAGCGGCTGGCCGGAGAAGAGAGCGTAAAGCAGCCCTCCGATGCACTGGCCCACGATCGTTTTCTGTACATCTGGAAATAAAACGGGAGGCAGGAAAGAGGCGGCTTCAATATCCAAAGCCAACTTGCATGAAATGTGCTAAGGACATAATCCACTCTCTCTACCCCCTGATTCTAAGCAAAAGGATTCTGTGAGAGCACAGAGGGTTCTCTCTGATTTAAGACTCTAGCACCCATCCTTTTTTAGAGCCAGAGAGGAAACATTACAAAAAAAAAAACTGCCTTCCATCTCCAATCAGAAATCAGCCTTCAAAAGCCATGATCAAGCCACATACAACACTGAATTCCATTTTTTTTAGATTGCCAGCTTTCTTTTGTTTCTTTTATTAAAGCAAGTTTCTAGCTCACATGACTGTGGCAAAGCATGTGTGCAATGTGATTTCCAAAAATCGAAGAGAGAAGGGACTGAACTTGATACACAGGGGATGAGGCCAGGACTCTCCTGCCCTCGTCTCCCCTCCCTTATTAGCGCAGTGCATAACATCTGTAAGCACTTATACACCTGATCTGTGCTGATCTGGATGTCTTTTAATGCAGAGGAGGTGAGATTTTCATGGTGCGGCTAACTTTTAGAATTTCTTCATGCCGCAGAACCAGAGCTTAGGGGGAAAATGGTGCTTGTTCTTCTGGGTCACAGCTCCTAGAAGCCCCCCAGCTAACGTGGCCAGGAGGAAATCTGGGGACCCTCCAGTTTCTGATTTTCCCAAGCTCAGCTCGGAGGAAACTCGGGGTCTCTTCCACACCCTCTCTGTCTGCAGAAGAGGCCCCCAAGAAAAGTGCACGTTCAGCCATGTGGGAAAAACATCCACACACTCAAGAGCTGGTCTGGGTCCTTTCTTTCCATCCTGATAGTTTTCTATGGAGGACCATGTGGGTCAAAACTGAATTGATAGCACAAGATTATCATTACCGTATTTTTCCTGTGTATAAAACGCCCCCAACCTACAAGACGCCCCCCACTTTTCTAATCCAAAATTAAGAAATCTAACTGGGGCTTAGCAAGTGTAGGGGGAAAGGGATCAAAACGCTGCAGGATCGCTTTGATCCCTGCTTCCCCTTCCACTTGTTTTTGTTCTCTCCTCAGCTTAATTCCATGTATAAGATGGGAGGGTTTGATAAGGCCATCGAGTCCAACCTCCTTCCCTATGTTTTGTGGCTTTTAAAAATGCAGGTCTACTCTGTGTTGGGAAAGTTTTCTGTAAAATAATCATAGAATCATGGCATTGGAAGGGGCCTCTATAGCCATCGGGTCCAACTCTCTGCTCAACGCAAGGATCCAAATCAAAGCAGGTGGTTGTCCAAGTTTTCTCTTGAACGCCTCCAGCATTGGAGGGCTCACCAGCTCCTGAAATAACTGGTTCCATTGTCGAACTGTTCTAATGGTTGAAATCTGACTTCCTGTAGCTTGAGCCCACTGTTATGCGTCTTGCACTCTGGGATGACCGAGAACGGATCCTGCCCCTCCTCTGTCTGACAGCCTTTCAAGTCTTTGAAAAGTGCTCTCCTATCTCTCCTTAAGTCTTCTTTTCTCCAGGCTAAACATGCCCAGTTCTTTCAGTCTTTCTTCATAGGGTTTGGTTTCCAGTGTCCTGATCCTCCTCATCTTTCAACTTCCTTCATTTTCCTATCTCTCCTTAAGTCTTCTTTTCTCCAGGCTAAACATGCCCAGTTCTTTCAGTCTTTCTTCGTAGGGTTTGGTTTCCAGTCTCCTGATCCTCCTCATCATCATCTTTCAACTTCCTTCATTTATCACAGGCAAGAGCACAGCCTTCTGTGCCCCGCCCTTTCCTCTGATTGGGAGATCAGCCAAGAAGGCGGGGCCAGAGAAGCCTGAGCTCTTGCTGGGATCGGGAGATCTGTTGAGGATGGGCAGGAAGCTGGCAAGCTGGGCCTGGAGAGGGGCTGATTGAGCCCAGAGGAGGCGAAGGAGGGGAGCAGCAGCACCTGTACTGCCAACTTGACGAACTTGGACGAACCGGTTCGTGCCCATCTCTACCGCCAACCATGTTCTCCTTCTTCTGTTCCTCATGTGCAGCAGATTTAACACAAATGTTATCAACAAGGAAATAAGTGTTATGGGGTGGGGAGAAAATGAGGGGAGACTCACCAATGACTCCATCTGTGTTTTCGTCATTTAGGGAACCAAAAGCGATGGAGGGCAGAAGGCAGGCAAAGTAGAGGAAAATCATGGTGGTGATGTATTTGCCAATGGCTTTGTTGTTGCCAATTATGCCTAAAACAGAAAAGCAGCATGAAAGGGCTGTATGGATGAAAACACCGTCCTCTCTTGTGGCTAGAATTTTCTTAAAAAGGACACAACTCTGAAAAACACACAAAGACATCCACATACAGAGCCCGTCCTGAGGAAGAATGTTATGCCTTCCTTCTCAAAGAAAACCCAGGTGATGCTAAGCCTTTTAGGAGAAAACCAGCCCACTCCAAGGCCACACGGCAATCTCTACACCGTGAGACACCCCCGCCGCCCACGGGAGATCTGACGTTCATAAATTAAAAGAAAAAGAGTATTTTAAAAAGAGACAGAACAAAATAAAAAAGAAGGATTTCTGAGTGTGTCTTAAGTACGACAATAATCCCTTTTAAATTTAAAATTTGTCTCACTGCCTGGAAAGTGACTTTCCAGAACAACACCGAGCCCTGAGAAAAGAATTTCTGTCTTTGTTCCTCCTATATTTAGGGTGTGGTTGGGTTTTTTTTTGGGGGGGAGGAATGCACACAGCTATCCCTTCCTATCTTACCCTAAGATTTCTCTGGGGCAAGTCCTAGGCCTGAGCAAATTATTGCTACGGTGCTAGGAAAAGAGAAGGGAGTTTTTTAATCAAATAGTGTGCAAATGTTCACCTCCCGGGAGTCTCCTTTCTCGGCCCAGTCTCACTCCCGATGTGTTTTAAAGAGGACCAGGTTTTCCTGAGCATAAATTTTCATCAGCTGCAATCCACAGAGGATTACGCCAAACAGAACTTGCTCGGCTTGAAGATGTGACCATACCCTGTGCTTTTTGCTGCCTATCCCCTCTCTGCAGCACTGGCAAAATAATAACAACAAACCAATGATTGAAAGGAGACACAACTTTTTGGCTTGTGTACTTTTGGGCTTGCATATGCTTTGCAACCGGGCCGAAATTGGCAGGAGGCAGGAAAGAGAAATAAACTCAACACAGCTGATACAGCGTCTGCCTCCTTTTTTTCCTTCTAAATGTAAACACAAGGGAAGAAGACCAGAATGAAGGATTTCTACTTCTTTGGCCAAAGACGATCGGTGAAACAGCTGAGTAAGGCTTTGCGCCTTCCCCCTTCCCGCCCTTCCTGAAGATAACATTTCTTGTTCAGTTGAAGAAAAGACTCCCCAGGCCAGGAAGCCGAATTTGAGAAAATAAACAGAACGCTTTGGAGGAGGGAATTCCACCAGTTTCACAGCTGTTACTCCTCTTAGCTACTATGTCTTGCAGGCAGAAGACTCTATTAAAAAAACAGACACACGCACAGAGAGAACCTGAAATATTCTAAAATTGGCAGTGCACGCTGGAATAAAAAAAGTGATTTAGTACACAACTCAGCTCATTATTTAGAAAGCTGGACAAAGTGGGCCCCGGACATTCTTCCTCTCCAAGAAACTGAAAAAAGAACAATATCTAGGGAGAGAGATTATGCCATCTGATGTTTTCCAAATAAGTATTCTGAATTTACGAAGCAGTTAGTTATATGACGAAAATCAGAAAACTTCCTGCTGGATCAAACCAAAAGCTTATGTAATCCAGCATCCTGTTTCTCACCTCAGCTAACCAGATGCCTGTGAGGTGTCCACAACAACGGTGGTCCTCAACCTTGGGCATCCAGATGTTCTTGGACTACAACTCCCAGAAGCCTTTGCCATCACCTCTGCTGGCCAGGATTTCTGGGAGTTGAAGTCCAAGAACATCTGGAAGCCCAAGGTTGGGGACCACTGCACAACAAGACACAAAGAAAACACAAAGAGTTATTTCCTGCTGTTGTTCGCCAGCAACAGGTCTTGGACCGCAGAGGCCATATACAACCATCATGACCAGGATCGTCCAACCAAGTTTGCCCGTTTACCGCAGGATTGTCTGATCTTACCAGCAACCGCTCTGCAGACCCTTAGGAACAGCTTTCAGCCCAGGTACCAGCAGGGTATTTTAACTGTATGCTTGGGGCAGAGCCTAAAAAAATCCCACCTAAGAGCAGCAGCTCGTTATGTTACGTTGACTACAACAACCATCTGTGCACTGCAGAGCAGGAAGGGACCCTATGGGTCATCAAGCCCAGCAGCCCCTGACATGAAAGCAAAGTGGGACATTGAACTCCCAGTCTCGGACTCGGCAGCCAGATGTCTAAACCAGATGCTGACATATAAATTAATTAATAATAATCAATAATCAATTATTATTATTAACAATAACAATAACAATAAAAATAACAACAACAACAACAACAACAACAACAACAACAATATAAAAAACAACCACAGAGCTACCCTAAAAAGGATAAATTCACAATTCGTGAACACAAATAATTCGGTGGGGCATTCAACGAGGAAGCTATAGCGGGCATCACTCATCCAGGGGAGATGGAGCAGAAGTTTTTAAAAGTAACTTTTCAGAACTCAGGGTAGTAGGTGTATTGTCCAGTTATGCCTGTACCACCTTTTCACATTGCAGAGGTAGGAAGAATCAAAATAAGCAGGAACCTTTGACAGACCCTGCACTGAGTAATGGCACCTGGATAGTTCTGGAGACACAACTCTTTCCTAAGGACTAGCGATGGGGATATTTGCATTCGTAAATGCATACAAATATCCACGTCCCAGCTGAACCTAATGCGGGTCCGGCGCCCTGGAACCGGCCCGTTCGCTCACACGTTGCTCCACCTCCAGCGTCCCAGTCTTCCCGCCAATCGGGTGAGTGGCTCCGCCGTCTCCTTGCTCGGGCGGCCACTCAGCAGCCGTGCAGAGAGACTTGTCCTCCCGGCCCCCTGCCTGGAGTGGTCAGCCGAGCAGGGAGACAGCCGAGCTACTTCCACGATTGGCGGGGAGAACGAGATGCTGGGGTGGCGACAACGTGTGAGTGGACGGGCCGGACCCCCATTTGGGGGATCAAGAGCCTTTCAAAACTCAACTGACAGCCAGTAGGGTGTAGCAGATGAGAAGGCTGGATTGAATTTAAGAGATCTGGGTTTAAATCCCCACTCAGCCACGGGAACTGACTGGGTGTGACCCTCCTAAAACCGCTCGTGGAATACCATGAAAATCCTATTAGGGCTGCTATAAGTTGAAATTCATTCAATGGCATCTAACAACAACTTAGCTATAGATTATTTGTCCCAAAGCGTCTGTGATCCTGTGTAATGTTGGTGGATTCCTTCAGCGTAGTGGAATGGTGGACCAACACAGTGCATTTGAGTGTGGTGAGCTGCTGTAGTCAGGCGCCAACGGCATGCATCTTGGCTTGCTCGAGCACTCGCCAGTAATAATCTTTGTAGAACGCCACAAAAAATCCTAACACTTATGAAGCGGCAAGCCACTCCTGTGAAGAAAACACGACGAGCAAGCCACACGTCTGAGCCTAGCTTTTGGTGGAAAGGGGCCCACATCAAGCGCCCCGAGGTTGGTGATCTAACTACTAGGCCGCCCGACCACACTTGGGAAAATAATTTGCTGTTGACACACTTTGAGCCTAATTGGCCCTTGGTTATTCTGCTCTGAAACACGAGCCCCAAGAGATGGGTTTTAAGATGCAGGCGAGCGCAGCAAGAGACGGGAGTTCTCGGCTCTCGTTGCGGCTCATTAAAAAGCAAAAGGGGATAAGAAGAAAGAAACAAAATAAATCACTGCAGAATTGCTAGCCCCAGAGACGACCAGCGAGAAAGACAAGGTGTAGATCAGTCTTCCCCAAAGCCATTGCCTTCCAGAGACAAAGGGACACCCCCCCTTTCATCACCCCCTCCATGGTGGGATTGGCGAGGCAGCCTTGCTGAGGCAAATAAATATGTGGCGAAAGTCACATTACGCATTTGGTATTTCACGGAACGGTGCCTCGTGAGTTCTGGTACGGTAGGGGAAGAGGCGCACCATGAAAAACGAGGCATGAAAACAGCGGAACACTGCAGGGGAAAGCTGAGATAATAACATTTCCTCACAACTTATAAGTTCACTGGAAAATGCGCTCTCCCCCATTCCCCGCGTGGAGCTAATGAATGCATTGCACTCCCCAAGAGGCTTTGAACGGGAGAGCTAAGAATTTGCACGGCTCTGAGCAACTGCACCGAACGAATTTCCGAATTTTCAAAGGGGGATTCTGGAACGGTCCTGTTTTAACACGTGGTACCTTCCCAGCTTGATAGACTGATCTCAGATAAGGATGATCAGAGCACCATTCTTACGGGGAATGTTGAGAGGACCTCTTTTCGCTCCACTTGGTGGCGTGAGATCTAAAGTACAGGTTCTGCTCAAAACCCAACGATCCAAGGGGCAAAACTGAGAAGCATTGGCTGGAACCCTTTCCGAGTCTAGTTGTAGAAAAGATTATGGCCTTCTCCCTTGGGAGGGTTATAACTTTGGAATACAGTAAGGCCCCCTTATCCACGGGATCAGTATCCACGGTTACATTTATCCATGGTCTGAAAATATTAAAAAGAAAAACCTAGAAATATTTCCACCATGTCTTTACCAGAACTGCCCACTAGAGAGAGCCAGAGACCACGTCGTGTATTCTTAGTGTTGAAGAATACATTACATGGACTTTGGCTCCCTCTAGTGATAAGTTCTAGCAATACAGTGGTGCCTCGCTTTACGATTGCCCCACATTACGACGAATCCGCTTTACGATGATCTTTTTGCGATCGCAAAACGATGGTCTAAATGGGGGGATTTCACTTTGCGATGATCAGTTCCCTGCTTCGGGAACCGATTCTTCGCAAAACAATGATTTTTTAAACAGCTGATCGGCGGTTTCAAAATGGCCGCCGGGTAAATAAAATGGCTCCCTGCTGTGTTTAGGGGCGGATTCCTCGCTATACAGGCAGCGAAAATGCCCGCCGTATGGAGGATCTTTACTGGACAGTGAGTTTTAAGCTCGTTGGAATGCATTGAAAGGTTTTCAACGCGTTTCAATGGGCTTTTTATTTTCGCCTTACGATGTTTTCGCTTAACGGCGATTTTCCTGGAACAGATTATCGCCGTTAAGCGAGGCACCACTGTACGTGTAGAGATACATCTCTCTAGATTTTTTTTCTTTTGCCATGCTATGTATATCATTCACTACTATCCGTGGTTTTCAGCATCCGTGGCGGTGGCACGGCTTGGAACCAATCCCCTGAGGGTTTCTGCTGTACTGAACTTTATTAGAACACACAGATAATACAGCTAGCTGACAGACTTTTGCAGTGTTTGAAATTACAAACTTAGGGACTTCATGAACACTGCAAGACACTAAGCACCAGCAATCATTAACAAAGCAAAACCTTTAACGGTGCAATGTTTGGAAAAGTACTTTTTAAAAGGGCAGCTCCGATTATGGCCATAAGTCATGTCAGTGAGGGTCCTTCTGGGACTTGTAGTTAATATCCTTCCCCACATCCAATGTTGGTCATGTGTGAAGAAATAGTCATCATTTCACTCTTCCACAAATCTGGAGATCAGTTTTAACGTACAGGCAGAGCCGGGGCGTACACCTGGTTTTGCAAGAACTTTCTCCGAAACCCACAAAGAATCCTTGAAGGCAGCTAAGTTTTATTTGGCATAAAGCTTTCATGGACTGCATTATTTTTCTTGCCATGGATCGGTGCAGCTGCCTCCTTGAAGGAGGGAGAACATTTTTTTCCAATGCATTGATAAAATTATTCTTCTATTTGCTGTGCATGTGCCTGGAATAAAAATCCATGCCTTTTCGTGTTGGATAGGGTCAGTTTACTGACTGCAGCCAGCTTGGCCGACCACCTTGGAAATCGTGTCTAAACCCGCCGCTCAGCGCTCGACTTCCTTTCCAACGACACCCCCGCTGCAGCCATCCCGCAAGAGCGTTCCACAAACAGGACGCGGCCCTGCGAGGACTCCCCGTCAGGTCAGCACTCCTGTCAACAACGGCGCACCTACCGTCAGTGAAGTCTAGCGCGTACACTGGGAATCTTCGTGCAATGTCATCAAAAATCCCTTTGCCAACGCTGAAGAATTCGTGGAGCTAAAGAAAGGAAGGAAATGTTATTTCAGTTCAAAAACACTTCTCCTGTTGTTGAAAGAAAGGGAGACGGTCTGGCCAAGCCGTTTCTGTTAAAAGCCTATTGAGGAGTCATTAAACCGGCCAGCGACAGGCGTGGAAGAACCTCAATGGCAGTGGATAATTTTCCAAGGTAGACAACACATCCGGAGAGATGAAAAAGTAACACTGCATTCGGCCCCAAGCCTCCATCTACTTTTTGTCTCCAAAAGCCCACTGAACGACCATGATGGCTAATGGGCTCATTACAATCCTGCATGTGCCGTTTGTCACTTCTCAGTGTCTAGACTTTGATGATGTGACAAGACGGGGGCAGGCAAATGAGTACCAACCTTTGCACTGCCAGGAGTGAAAGGCTGGAATAGAGAAATGCTTATTCATTCAGAATAAGGAGATCCTTTTGTGCAAGGGAATGCTGGGTTTGCTCCCTTTCTGGACTCAACCCAACCCTCTTCTATTAAATGTGTCTGTGCAAATAGACCAATTAACCAGACATCATTCTGCTTTTTTTTCTTTTTCTTTTTGATTTCATCCACCAACCCACTAGGGAAACAACCGTTTGACCCTTGGATTCAGCCACCAACCAAACTGACCAAACCAAGATTTTGGCAGACTGAGATCTGATTTTTTTTTATTAGATTCAGGTGTCTGCATTTGGATTGGACGAGGCTGGAAAAGTTCTGAAACTCTCTCCCCTTGCAATAAAACCATGGCTCCTGGAATCTTCCAGGAACAGAAACCTCCTTTACCAAATTTATCTATTTATTTCATGATCCTGGGATTGCAGGCAGTTTAAGGTAGCTCTCTGTGTTTTTACACACAGACTGTACATATTGAACAGAGCGTGTAAAAGCGTTTTTAAAGATCGTAACAATCTGGAACTCTCAGAGTCCCCAACTCTGAAGCTGGAACAAAAGGGTAGATGAAGGGCATCTGTCAACATCATCACTCTCAAAAGCCCCCACTTGCACTCAGTGTGAGCTGAAGTTTGACCATCATGGCATTTGCTGTGGGGCTTCTCCTGCCTCTGCCTGTCCTTCACTCTCCGGCCACTGACCTGTTCCTTCCAGCCTGTCATGGCCTCATCATCAGCACTTCTCTTTGCTTGTAGGATGACTTAGTAGAACGACGGGGGTTTCTAATCTCAGTACTCCTTTCCCCCCTTTGGGGCTTAGTTTCTGCTCTGTTACAGCTGTCTACCACAGCTAGTTGGGGAGGAGGGTGGGTTTTAAGATTTGAACAGAACACAGGAAGGCCTTTTCCAAATTTCGAAAGGCAAAGCCTCGATCATGTTTCAGAGTATAGGGGTGCCTCGACTTACGACCGTCCTGACATACAACCATTTCGACTTACAGCCAGCTCCGGCCGCAAAATTTTGCTTTAACTTGCAGCCAGAGCTTCCAGTTATGAACAGAAAAAGGCAGGCGGAAAAAGGCAGGGAATTCAAACTGCTAACCTTTGGTGGCGAAGATGCTGCATCTCTGTAGCTCGTTTGCCCCAGTGGTTAGCGTGAGTCTGATCGGAGGAGGCTTCGGACTGCCTGGTAAGGTAAGGTGCTGCTTTTTAAAACCTGTTCTGGGTGGGTTTTGCAGTGTGGTTTTGGGCTGGGGGAGTATGTTTCTGTGCTGTGTTTTTTTTCTTGCTCCTTTGTTTATTTTTGGTTTGGTTTTATTTTATTTTATTATTTTTTTGCAGTCCCAGCACCTTCGGGGCTTGCTTTGCAATTTATTTTTGGTTATGTTTTTTTTGAAGCCCCAGTGATGGAGCTTGCCTTACTGTTTATTTTTGTGTTGTTGTTTTTTAAAGCCCCAGCGCCTTCCGACCAGGCTTGCTGTGTGCTTGTGCTTCGACTTACGACCATTTTGAGTAACATCCATGCTCTGGAACAGATTATGGTCGTAAGTCGAGGCACCACAGCATCTGCAACCTATAATCTGGCTCAGAGTCAGACCCCTCTAGCCAAGAGCTGTAGACACTTGAGTGCCACCAACCCTCCAGGCAGGGTCTTTCCCCATCCCACTCCGTGAAGCTAGGAGTTGATCCAGGTCCTCCTTGAATGTGAAAGATGGACTCTACCACCGAGCGACATCTCATGCACACGTATGAATATAAATGAAGAGCCCAGCCTTCTAGTCCAACAAAGACATCTCTAGTCCAGCATTTCTCTTCCCACAGGGGTTAATCAGACTTCTTTGGGAAACCCACTAATAGGATTTCCTGCTGAGAGACACACGGCTTCTTGGTCTAACCTATAGGACTACCTCCCTTGTAACGTCTAGCTCTATGAATCTTCCCAAACCATCACCCCCACACTTCAAAGCTGCCCACGTTGTAGTTGTTGATGGTTACATCTTGTGGCAGGAAGTCCCACAGTTTAAATATGCCCTTGTGCTAAGAAGTGCTTTGTTTTGGCCTTCCTGAATCTCCCAAGTATTCAGCTCCACTGGAAAACGTCAAGCATGGGCTTGAAGAAAAAGAAGACATTTCTCCTCTTTGCTCTTGGGCTTCTCTGCACCGTCCATAGTTTTATACCCTCCTGTCAGGTCCCTAACTTAGTCATGTTTTTTTTCTGAGCAAAACTGCTCCAGACATTCTGCTTTGGGTCGTCCTCTTGGCCAGAAGCCCCATGTTGTTCTGGGACCGAGAGGGAATGCCCTGAGGTCTACTCTGTCCCTACAGCTTTGCCAACTGGAATGGCACAACCAGGTAACAACTCTTAAAGGATTGCGCACAACTCAGTGGCCGGATCAGCTCATGCCCAAGCTTTTTGGTCGAGCATCCAGTGGCCACGGTGCTCTTTCTCATGGAAAAAGCTGTCTCTTCCCATGAGGCAGATTTCAAACTCATGGCGCGCAGAGGAATGGTATTTTCAGCAAACGCACCTTCAGAGGTTTGTGGCCGTGTGTCTTGTGGCCATCCGTCACCGCCGAGGGCCTCTGGTTAACCACTGTTAGTAGGTGACGCTGGTGGACCAACGCTTCCTTGAATTCTTCTTCTGTTTTTGTTTCCAGAAGCTTCTGTCGAAAGGTGATATCCGAGAACATTGTGGCGAACGTCCGGCCCACCTCTGTGGCAGTTTTAGTACTTTTCTGGGGTAAACAAAAGATATTTACTGGTTATTCTCAAATACCGGCACAACAGCCTGAGTTTTATAGGATTTCCTGGCTCACTCTTCCTCCCTCCCCCAGGATTCTTGCCTCTAGACATGTTGGATAACAGTTTCCATCATCCTTTAACACCTGGGTGGGTGTAATGGGGCTTGTAGTCCCAAATATCTTGATCGCTAAGCGATTTTTAAAAGCCCATAGGAATGCATCGAAACCCCTTCAATGCATTCCTATGGGCAAAAAACTCACCTTTAAGCGAAAATCCTCCATACAGCGGCCATTTTCGCTGCCCGATATGCGAGGAATCCGTCCCAAAACACAGCTGGTGGCCATGTTTTTTTTCCAGTGGCCATTTTGATCAGCTGTAGGAAAAAGATCACTATGCGATAATCGGTAAGTGAAACAGCTTACCGATCATCGCAAAGCGTTTTTTTTCCTATTTAAAACACTGCAATGCGATCGCTTTTTCGATCGCAAATTCTTCGTCGTTAAGTGGTTTTGTCGTTAAACGGGGTGCTCGTTAAGCGAGGCACCACTGTAAATGGTACATCCCTAGCACTCAGCCTAATTTCACAAATTGTAACCTAAATGCTCTGAATTATAGTCCAACTCAAGCCAGTATAGCAGGTTACATTAAACATTAGAATCTCAAGATTAAACCCAGACTCTGTTACAAAAAACAATGTGTGAACGTATTAATTCACAAACTAACCTACTCAAGATTGAACTTCATCATCTTCTTTGATCCCTTTTTACTCAATACTACACAGATGTTCTTGCGCTTTATATTTCACACCTTAACACAGAAATGGAAGAAGTGGAAGAAGTACCAAAATCTACAAGTATCACCTATTAGTGGCATGCTCTTAACTGCTTAAGATTGAACTGATCCAGTTCACCATAATCACCTGATGCAAGGAATGTCAGGATGGGTGATATTCCTTATGTGAAAAAATATCTGAATGTCAACCATACTGTCAATTAGTCAAAATTAGATGACTATTTAGAAATATGCCACTGCCCTTAAAATTGTATTAAGTTTCTCATTTAAGTTCAGAAGATACACAAACCCCGCCATTTGTCTTTTACAGGGTTTATACACATATATTCCCAGCAGCTGAAAATTCTTAACATTCTTGTCCTAGACTGGTTATACAGTACTTGGCAATGCTGTACAGCCACTATGATTCACACACCCTGTCTTAAGTACTCATATTATCTGCAGCAAGTTTCAGAGTTAACAATGTATCATGGGGTTTATGGAATTAGAAGACAAACATACCAGACAGTAAATCTCACAGTGTTGTTTCCAAGAAAGAGGGAAAGATCCTCTGTCATCTGCTCCTGGCTCTTCTTGTTTGCCACCATGACCATGATATAATCAGGGAGCTCTTCATCTGATTTGAAGAATTAAAACTATATTTGGATACAGTGGTGCCTTGACTTACGAATGTCCTGACATACAACCATTTCGACTTATAGCCAGCTCCGGCCGCAAAATTTTGCTTCGACTTGCGGCCAGAGCTTCCAGTTATGAACAGAAAAAGGCAGGCGGAAAAAGGCAGGGAATTCAAATTGCTAACCCTTGGTGGTGAAGAGGGTGCATCTTTGTAGCTCGTTCGCCCCAGTGGTTAGCGTGAGTCTGATCGGAGGAGGCTTCGGACTGCCTGGTAAGGTAAGGTGCTGCTTTTTAAAACCTGTTCTGGGTGGGTTTTGCAGTGTGGTTTTGGGCTGGGGGAGTATGTTTCTGTGCTGTGTTTTTTTTCTTGCTCCTTTGTTTATTTTTGGTTTGGTTTTATTTTATTTTATTATTTTTTTGCAGTCCCAGCACCTTCGGGGCTTGCTTTGCAATTTATTTTTGGTTATGTTTTTTTTGAAGCCCCAGTGATGGAGCTTGCCTTACTGTTTATTTTTGTGTTGTTGTTTTTTAAAGCCCCAGCGCCTTCCGACCAGGCTTGCTGTGTGCTTGTGCTTCGACTTACGACCATTTTGAGTAACATCCATGCTCTGGAACAGATTATGGTCGTAAGTCGAGGCACCACAGCATCTGCAACCTATAATCTGGCTCAGAGTCAGACCCCTCTAGCCAAGAGCTGTAGACACTTGAGTGCCACCAACCCTCCAGGCAGGGTCTTTCCCCATCCCACTCCGTGAAGCTAGGAGTTGATCCAGGTCCTCCTTGAATGTGAAAGATGGACTCTACCACTGAGCGACATCTCATGCTCACGTAAGAATATAAATGAAGAGCCCAGCCCTCTAGTCCAACAAAGACGTCTCTAGTCCAGCATTTCTCTTCCCACAGGGGCTAATCAGACTTCTTTGGGAAACCCACTAATACGATTTCCTGCTGAGAGACACACGGCTTCTTGGTCTGGCGGTAGCCTATAGGACTACTTCCCTTGTAACGTCTAGCTCCTGATAGTTCTATGAATCTTCCCAAACCATCGCCCCCACACTTCAAAGCTGCCCACGTTGTAGTTGTTGATGGTTACATCTTGTGGCAGGAAGTCCCACAGTTTAAATATGCCCTTGTGCTAAGAAGTGCTTTGTTTTGGCCTTCCTGAATCTCCCAAGTATTCAGCTCCACTGGAAAACGTCAAGCATGGGCTTGAAGAAAAAGAAGACATTTCTCCTCTTTGCTCTTGGGCTTCTCTGCACCGTCCATAGTTTTATACCCTCCTGTCAGGTCCCTAACTTAGTCATGTTTTTTTTCTGAGCAAAACTGCTCCAGACATTCTGCTTTGGGTCGTCCTCTTGGCCAGAAGCCCCATGTCGTTCTGGGACCGAGAGGGAACGCCCTGAGGTCTACTCTGTCCCTACAGCTTTGCCAACTGGAATGGCACAACCAGGTAACAACTCTTAAAGGATTGCGCACAACTCAGTGGCCGGATCAGCTCATGCCCAAGCTTTTTGGTCGAGCATCCAGTGGCCACGGTGCTCTTTCTCATGGAAAAAGCTGTCTCTTCCCATGAGGCAGATTTCAAACTCATGGCGCGCAGAGGAATGGTATTTTCAGCAAACGCACCTTCAGAGGTTTGTGGCCGTGTGTCTTGTGGCCATCCGTCACCGCTGAGGGCCTCTGGTTAACCACCGTTAGTAGGTGACGCTGGTGGACCAACGCTTCCTTGAATTCTTCTTCTGTTTTTGTTTCCAGAAGCTTCTGTCGAAAGGTGATATCCGAGAACATTGTGGCGAACGTCCGGCCCACCTCTGTGGCAGTTTTAGTACTTTTCTGGGGTAAACAAAAGATATTTACTGGTTATTCTCAAATACCTGCACAACAGCCTGAGTTTTATAGGATTTCCTGGCTCACTCTTCCTCCCTCCCCCAGGATTCTTGCCTCTAGATGTGTTGGATAACAGTTTCCCTCATCCTTTAATACCTGGGTGGGTATAATGGGGTTTGTAGTCCCAAATACTGTATCTTTAAGGCATGAGACTGAAGAAGCAGGTCACAGCTAATATTGAATATGATATTTAAACATAAACCACAAATATACTGTCCTCGGGAGTTATCACCTATCAGATACTGAGAAAATCGGTCTCATTGCCAACCAGAACTTCACAACTTCAGCAAGAAGGGAGTCACACAATTGCTGCTCAAAATCCACAGTTGGCAAAAGGGGGAGTTTGAGGCGTAACACAGAAGGCGGGCAAGCTGTGTGAAACAGTGGAGTAGACCTATTCAGATACCTACTCTATCAGTTTATTTCAAATTGCAGTATACACTAGAGGAGAGCCAGCACAGTGTACGTGACAGGCCAGGACTCAGAAGACCTGGGTTCAAAACTTTGTTCGGTCATGGGAACCAGTAAAACCACTCATTATTTATCTCATGGTTTAGGTTGCCGTGAGCTGGAAGTGATTTGACAACATGTAACAATGGACACCAGATGAGCCCAGAAAAAAGGCATGAATTAAAAGTAATCAGAATTAACTATCACTAGCCCTTTAGCTAGATTAGGCATCCTTCAGTCTTGAGAGATGAGGGTCACGTGCTTGGAAAGCAGGACTTGGAACAGCGTCTAGTGTGGTTGAGAAGGCCAATTCGAGAGTGACAGTCCCTTCCACACTGAAGACAAAGACAGTCTGTCCCCTGTCTGGTTCCCAGATTTGGCTGCTTTCGGGACTGCCTCTTGGTCTCGGCCTGCTGGACAAGGGTCTCTTCAAATTGGGAGAGGCCGTGATGCACTGCCTGCCTCCTGGCTGAACGCTCAGAGGTCAAGGTTTCCCATCTGTTGAGGTCCATTCCTAAGGCCTTCAGATCCCGCTTGCAGATATCCTTGTATCGCAGCTGTGGTCTCCCTCTGGGACGATTTCCTTGCACTCATTCTCCATCCAGGAGATCTTTTGGAATCCAATCATCAGCGATTCTCACAACATGCCCAAGCCAATATAGCCCTTATGCCTTTTAATTCAGTTTTCTACAGCCTTTTAATTGGAGGCTCCTCATTGTGTTTACAGTCTTCCATGAATTTCTTTAACACCTTTCCAAGCTACCTAGCCACATTGGTCATTCCCTGTAGATGGAAACTGTGGCTGTTCCATTTCAGATTGCTGGTATAGAGCAGGCTGATACATATGACATTTTTGAGTGTTTCTCAAGACAAAAAACCTATTTGTATGTAGTAAACGACCATCCAGTATTCAACTACCTCACCCTCTGTAATCTGCCAAATGATTCGCACAGGTATTGATGGCCAGAACTGTCAAAACTTGCTCACAGACTCATCCCCATTATTGCATGCTTTCAAGTAAACCCTGGGCTTTAAAGTATTCTTTGTTGACATTATTGCTACCAATGTTTCACTATGTTTTGTGGTTTTAAAAACGTAGCTCTATTCTGTGCTAAGAAGGTTAGCTGCAAAATATAGAATCATAGAATCATGGCACTGGAAGGGTCCTCTAAGGCCATCCAGTCCAACCCCTTGCTCAAGGCAGGGATCCAAATCAAAGCAGATCGGACAGAGGGTGACCCAATTTTCTCTTGAAATGCCTCCAGCGTTGGAGCGCTCACTACCTCCCAAAATCATGGGTTCTATTGTCAAACTGCTCTAACAGTTGGGAAGTTTTTCCTGATGTTCAACCGAAACCTGAGCCCGCAAATAATAATTGCATGCTGATTCTAATGTATAGAGCACTGTCCAGGGATTTCCAGGTGCAAGAGGACTCAGAAGTAACTTGCCACCCCTTTCCAAAGGAGAGGGAGAAAAATGTGTCAAGCTGAAATTGGAGAGAAGCCTACCATTTTTGGAGGAGCAAGCACCAGAATGACGAATCTGACTTCGCAAGAGTTCTCCCCCCAGTTCTGGGGCCTTTCCAGCCGGCTGATGCACACGTGACGGCGCTGAAGGGACTTTATAGTGCAACTGGGGGAAGAAAAAAAAAAGATTATTTTCAATGGAAGAAGCTATGCAAATGTTGTTGTAAACCACAGCTTGGAAGGATAACCGAGTCACCTTTGGCAATTTACCTGTCTCCGTTCTATAAGGAAGATTTGAGAAAGTTTCAAAGTAAAGAATAAGTGGGAATTACAAAAATGTAGCCCATTCCCCGAGCTATTTGAAAATTAAAAAAAAAAAAAAAAAGGAAATCTGTTCACCCCAAAACAAGTAACACAATGGAATACCAGGCTCTTTTCAGGAGGATAAACGTGGAAGGGTTAGTAATAGTTGTATGATGGCTCAAATCCTGTTGTTCACTGGAGTAAGTCACACTAAAGTAAGCCTGCTGAATTTGTGGGGGTTAGGTAAGTCAAGTCCTTAAATTTCCTTGACTGAAATGGAGCTACTCTAGCTGTGACTTCATACACTAAAAGTAAGTCAAACCTATGAAAGGGCTGACTCGCCCAATCCCCACAGATTCTATGGGCCTACTTTAGTGCAACTTACTCTGCTAAGCAACAGGATTTCAGTCACAGAAATTTGCTGAACTACAAAATTTTGAAATACGAAATTCATCCAAAATTGGGCAGGAAGTAAGACACCCAAGATAGTCAAAAAAGAACTATTTACCCTTTGGGTTACTACTTCCTCTTTTAACCCCAGAAAAACAGTGGCTGGGCATGTCATGGACAGATGTGAGATTTGCTAAGCCTTTGACATATTAGTTACAGGAATTTTTGTAAGCCTTGGAGAGCTGAACCAGAAGAATTCCATCATTCTTTCAAAATATTTCTAGAGATTTTCGTGAAAACATGATGGTTTAGCGTGCTTAGGACTATAAAATAAGAAAGGCAATTACCGTATTTTCCATGTATAAGACGATACTTTTGTCTAAAATCATTAGACTAAAAATTGAGGTTCGTCTTATACACAGAAATAGGCTGAGGAGAGAACAAAAACAAGTGGAGGGGGAAAGCAGGGATCAAAGCGATCCTGCCACACTTTGATCCCTGCTTTCCCCTCCACTTGCTAAGCCCCATGGGTTGCACAAGGGGGAAAGGGATCAAAGTGATCATGCAGCTGTGGGATTGCTTTGATCCCTTTCCCTCTCCTTTTGCTAAGCCTGTGGGGCTTAGCACAAAGGGACAAAGCAGTGATCAAAGTGATCCTGCAGCCCTTTGATTCCTTTCCCCCTCCACTTGCTAAGCCCCGCTTAGATTTCTTAATTTTGTGTTTAAAAAGTGGGGGCGTCTTATACACAGAAAAATATGCTAAAAGTTCAAATTAAGATTTTCTTTCATCTCTTAAGTGTTTTCCCATCTCCTAACTCAGGAATAATCTCATGCAGGAGTGAGTGCCAGATGTCTAGATAGCAGGCTTGAATTCAATGAAACTGGCCATGGGGCGGAGGGAGGAATGACAAAGTTATCCCAGACACTTGGCAGAACTACCAAAACCAAACTTTAATAAAGCCTCAACTGATAAAGAAAAATAAATAAAGAGATCAGTGTAGTCTGATCATGCTGAGATGCCACGAATACTGGCTACAATATTTGCAGAGGTAACACAGAAAACTGAGCTAAGAAAAGAGCTATATTGGTCTGCTTGGAAAAGTTACTGCTTGGAACACTTCTGGAAGCGGCAAGCCTTAAAAAGGAACTTTTATCGGCTAGCTTGGGGATAATGGCTGGCTGAGACAAGGATGTCAAGAGCCCACCAGACAGCACACCGAGGTCTGGCTACAAGCATCATGTATTCTCGTGATTTCTCAAATCTGTACAGCAGCGAGCCTTCCTCCCCTAAGGCTTTGGTTAATGATTTTAGCAGTTTAAGCCTACATTGAGAGGCGAAGAAGGACAGATTAAGTGCAAACTGCCCAAACCTATCTAGCACTTTGGGGAAAATATATGTAAATCCTCTCCATTACATGAATGGCTTAACGGGAGAATGATTAAACTAAGAAGGTTTTTAAAAGAATACTGTGGATTTCTTTTCACCCAGCCTGCCTCATGCCTATTTCCCAGTCACTTCTTTTCTTAATCTTGGAGAACACATCCAAAAAAAGGTTTTTTACTGTTTTTCACAAACGAAGCATTTGCCAAATAATAAACACCGATTTAAAAAGTCAGAAGTAACTCTGTTATTCAGACTCAGAAGCAGCGAACTTTGAAGGATCTTGATGACATTTGGCTCCAGCGTTCATTTTGGGCAAAACCAGAGGCTACTGGAAGATCCGGAAAAAATGGGAGGGGGGGGCACATATCCTATCCCCTCCTAATTTTGACCTCAACTTGCGACCCAATCTAATTTTTTTTCTTGAGACATGAGGCTCTTCTTCCCACAAAGCTGAAATTCCCTTCTTTCCACGGGTACCATTAACTAGAGTGTAAGCAAATCCACATGAAAGCTTTGAATGGTGAATGGCCTTTTTGATTGACGTTCTGATAGTGAATTTCCTTTATTTATGCAAACTAAAACAGCCAAGGGTACATACAAAACAAATCTGATCACATTTCCATCGTATTGCTAAGACCAGTTTAAATTTCGACAACATGCAAAAGATTTTTTTTCCTCTCTTTTCAGCTTTCTGAAATTTCCAACTGATCCACTTTGTGACGGAAATTCCAAACCCGGCCTATTTTAGTTATCAACAAGTCACAAGACAATGATAAAGGCACATAATAGTAATAGTAACCCATTGTTGGTCAGGGAGATTACTACTGTATTATTCTCTCCCTCTCAACCAGAGAAATGGAAGATACTCATCATTGTCCCATAACTATACTTCAAAAAGCCAGTTTCTGGAATGAAGGGGTTTATTTATGGTTCCAAAATTTATTCAGAGTGCTCTAAATTTGGGGGAAAGCATCCAGAAATGTCCAGTTGATCCAAAATGCAACCTCTAAAATACTTTCTGGGACACGATAGATGAAGAATATAATTATGGCCTTGTTTGATCTGGACTGGGGGATATAACTAGTCTTGTGGTTGTTGTGGGTTTTCCAGGCTCTTTGGCCGTGTTCTGAAGGTTGTTCTTCCTAACATTTCGCGAGTCTCTGTGGCCGGCATCTTCAGAAGACAGGAGTAGCACTCTGTGCTCTGGTGCAGTTTGTTTGGGAGTGCAGTATTTATAGCGGTGGGATCAGGTTTTGTCCTTTTCAGGAGATGGGTGTTTATGGTGATCAGTGTGTATTTTGTTGTGGGAGTATTGTTATGATACATTGTTCGCGAACACATAAACAGTCTTATTTGATCTGGACTGCCTGTCCACTAAAGGGACTAATTGAAGCTCCTAGTTCTTGCCTTAAAAACGTGAGTTAAGTCACACAGATTGTGGAAGCATTCCTTTTTTGGCCTAGATCTCCCAGAATCCCCATGGGTTCTGGCCATATTGGCTGGGGGATTCCGAGTATTCTACTAAAAAATACAGTATTTCCCAGCTCTGAGCATAAGGGCCACTTCCTTCCCATTATTTTCCTTCTCAACATCAGATATAATGCTTTAGTTTTTCTGTCAATGCAATGGAAAAGCCACCTTTCTTCACCATTTCAGAATCAGCTGATTACATTCCAACAGGGCCACAATTAAAAGAAATATAGTCTCCAAATCCTGCGAGGTATTAGTTCCCCTCTATTTGGCACTGGTTACGCCTTATCTTGAGCACTATGCCCAGTTCTGGACACCGCACTTTGAGAAGGATGCTTAACTGGAACAAGTTCAGAGGAGGGTGATGAGGATGATGGAGGGGGCTGGAAACCAAGCATTATGAGGAAAGGCTGAAAGAATTGGGCCTGTTTAGCCTGGAGAAAAGAAGACTGAGGGGTGATAGGATAGCACTTTTTGAAAGGTAGTCCTACAGAGGAAGGGCAGGATCTGTTCTCGATCATCCCAGAGTTCAGGACGTGTAATAATGAGCTCAAGCTACAGGATGTCAGATTTAGGCTGAATATCAGGAAAAATGTCTTAACTGTTAGAGCAGCACGACTGTGGAACCAATGACCTCAGAAGGTAGTGAGCACTCCCAACGCTGGAGGTATTCAAGGGAAACTTAGACAGCCACCTGGCAGATATCCTTTTTTGTATTCCTGCACTGAGCAGGGGGTTGGACTCAATGGCCTTAGAGGCCCCTTCCGACTTCATTATCCTATGATTCACAATTATAAAAATACAACCCATCTCCCTAAAAAATCAGAAATTGGGAGCTTCTGTGCCAACAGACAGGAAGGGGAGCAGCTATTAGGGATAACACTGAAGGCTCTAGCTTGAAGACTTTAATGCATTAATAATAGGGCGGGGGGCAAAATCTACAATTAAATTCTGCCAATAGATATATAAACAGAACATTTTATTTACATAATTGGCTCCAGATGTTAAACTCAACATCCCAATATTGTCCCCGTGTTTAATTCTGACTGTACTTTCACCCTCTTGTGCCTATTTGTTGCAGTGAAATGTAACAGATGAACAGACGATTGAATTAAGGTTATCTGTCAAATTGTCTAGCTTTGCAGATCATTTTAATGCTCATGCATATTCAACGAGCAGAGCTAGGTGCGAGAGCCAAGCAGGGTGCTGTTAAGGTAATATTTGCTGTGCGGTATTTTGTTTATTTAGCGAGTCGGCATGTTTCTTTTTTAAGGCTTTAGGTGCCATGATTAAAAATTCCTGGGAGTTGAAAGAGGAAAACATATGGGGGAAATAGAAGGGATCTAAGACATGTAGGCATCCTTTGAGACAGAGAGATTAGGGTTCCCTGGTAGCAAAAGGAGGAAACCGGAAAGGAGGAGGAGAGGAGCTCAAGAGAAACCTGAGCGTTGAAACCTGATTCCCCCAATCTCAGGCTCTCCAGATGTGATGTCCACCTCAAGCCCCCACATCTGGAGGACACCAGGTCTGGGACAGCTGGGGAAAGTGTCACGTCACCGTTCTGTACACTCATCACATGACTCAAAACCACGTATCCAGGAAAGATTTCACCACGAAGA